TGCGGCGGCTGCGCCCACGCCCGGCGCTGCTGCCCCTCGCCGGCCTGTTGGCGGCGCCGCCGCCCAGGCCGCTCTGCTGCGACCGCGGCGCCACCGCGGCGGCGCCGGGGCCTCGCTGGCTGCGGCACCCGCGGTGCGCCGTGCCGCTCCGGCGCGGTCCTGCCGGCGGCGACCTCGCCGCGGATTTCTCGAGTGGGAGATCGTTTACAGAATCGGTGTACTTACCAGCCTCGAACGTATCCCTATCCCTCAGATTGACACGCCAAAAGGCGATGACAATCTTAGGGATTCGCCTTCAAAAAATAAGGGAATCCCTAAGATTGGCATCGTGATGAGGAGGTGCCCAGCGTGGGGATAGGGAAATGCTCCAGGCTGGTAATGTAGTGTCATCGAGAGCAACGGAGCTCCCAACCCGAAGAACAGCACGGTGAAGACGTGGCCTCCCTCCGGTCACTTGGTCCCCATTCGGGACAGTCAGTTTGGGCGGTTTGGTGTGCTAGGTCAGCAGGAAAACAAGGCTCCCTTTGCCGACTGTTTTCGGCCCTCCTTACTTAGGTCCCCTCCCAAAGGGTCAGGGCCCAAAATTGTCTTGCTTATATATATATATATATATATATATATATATATATATATAGACACATATTTATGTATATATATATGTATAAGAAAACGTACACTGTTCGTAGATCTACGAGCATCAGACGTATCATTTGTAGATTCGGCAACAAACAAGGTCGGGATAGATCAACTCTGGGGGCGATCTTATACTCGAACTTCTCGGGCGCCGTGGGCGCCGTGCGGGCGCCGCTGTCCGCTACGGAGTCGCCGCTGACCTACGTGGAGGCCACCTTCGGGCCGCCCGCCGGCAGCGGCGCGTCGGTCTCCGTAAAGCGGGCGCTGGTCGACACGGGCTCCGAGGACTGCGAGCTGCGCGAGGGGCTGCTGAGGGGCCTGCAGCTCGGGACGACGGCCTCGCGCGCCCGGTACGAGACCGTGTCCGGTGAGGAGGCATACGACGTCTACGAGCTGGCGCTCACGGTCCACGGCCGGACCCGCGTCGTCAGGGTGTCCGTGGCCCCAGAGCACATGTTCGGCGCGGGAGAGGAGGGCTGCTCCGACGACGCGATCATAGGCCACGCCGCCCTCGCCGCCCTGGGTCTGCTGGTGGACCCCGCCGCGCGCCGCCTGGTCGACCCCGGCGAGCTGCCTGCAGCTGGCGGGCAGCCCCGACGAGCTGGCCTGACGTATGCCGAGGTAGCGTTCCGTTCCACGCTGCCTGGGGGGCGCGCCGCGCGCGTGCGGGCGCTGGTGGACACGGGCTCCTCTGACTGCGAGCTGAGTGGGCACGCCCTGGGCCGGCTGGGGTCCCCGCCGCCCCCGGTGATCTCGGACCGCGTCGTCTACGAGACGGCGGTGGGCGGCGAGCCGTACACCGTGTTCGAGGTGCAGCTGGAGGTGTGCGGGCGCGCGTGCGCGGCGGCGGCGACGGCTAGCTTGTCGCCCTCGGACGAGCCCGTGCTGGGCCACCTCGCCCTCGCCGCCCTTGGCCTGGTGGTGGACCCGGCGGGTCGCCGGCTGCTTCCTGCAAGTGCTCCCTCGCAGCCCTGACTCGTCGGGCCAGTCTCGCACAGATCGACCTGTCAGCATCCCTGACCACTGGGCGGCCAGGTATTGTATGCACAGTGCCGTTTTCAATACATGCTCCGCGGGCGGATCATGTATTAAAAATGCAGGATTTAGTTTTAGAAGCAACGATGAGTTCATGCATACATTGATTCGTAAATCCATTAGGTATTAACAAACATCCTGTATTTTTAGAGCTCTATGTATTGAAAAAACTGCCCTGTATGCTTCCGCCTCGCACGGTCGGCTCGCCGCCCTCCGGCGAAGAAGCAGCAGCCGCAAGAGCATGTAAGTGTGCGGAGCCCCGCGCGGACGTCCTGCCTGGGCGCGGGACCCCCCTCCGGCAGGGCGGGCGCCGCCCCTGGCGTTAAGTCGGGCGTGTCCCCCTACAGGGGGATTTTCGACGAAAAATTGAGGAATACACCAAAAGTACCCCAAAATTGCCAAAACATATACAAAACATAGTCCCCAGAGTATTTTTGGAGCATTTTTGGATTATGCTTGGGGTATTTTTTATTTTCCTTTGAAAATCCCCCTGTAGGGGGACAGGCCCGACATAACCCTGGCGCGCTCCGCGCGCCAGGGATGGCCCGGCCCCGATCCAAGGAATCCGCGCGGACCAGCGAAAGTGCATGTTTTCCGAGCATGTTCTTTGGGTGGAGGGCAAAGGGTGAAATTTGAAATGCCGTTTCGATTGGTTCTTGGGGCTCGAATCTGCAAAAGGTGAATCACAAGACGGATTGATTTTCGAGTGCAAGAGCCCATATGGATTTCACCCTGAGCCCTCCACCCTAGGAACTTTTGGGGAAGTGTTCTTGATACCGATACAGCTACCCGTGCCTCGCTTACGCCTTTGTGGGCATTCTGGGGGTCCCTCGTTGCCACCGCTTGATTCGCCTCGAAGTTCGGGTCAGAACGCACCCCCGGACAGCTCCGTGGAGTAGCAGTACCGGTATTCTTTGGCTTCCTGATATTTCGTTTTTGGTTTCTAAGATTGCGAGTTGCAAGAGGTGTCCGGGGAACCATAGGCCAATGGTCGTCGCCCGCACCATGCACCTCGCGACCCATCGCCGATGTGCGTGCCATACTCCGAGAGTGCCTTTGCATCCTGATATTCGGTTGCTGAGTTGTGGACCTCTCGCCGGTGCCTCCAGAACGGTACGGGCTCTTAGCGCCCAGCTCCCTCCTGCTGCATATCCTCCTCTCTCTGCCCCTCGTCCTGGTGTCCCACGACGGTGTCCGACCGCACTCCAGGCTCCTCGCGGCGTCTTGTCGGATCCTGAGCCCGTTTCCCGGCCGCAGCCTGGACTCGTCTCTGGGCGGTGCGAGATTGGATTGGCCTGAACCGGTCGCGCCCAGAATCAGGAGGAGAAAAAGCACACAGACACAATTAATCGTCGACTCCCAGGAAAATATTGGAAAATATGGGAAGTGAGGGGGAGGACAAAAACCCAGAAAATATTGGAACATATAGGGAATCTGTTTATTTGTGTGTATTCATTTGTGTGTCCTGGGACCCCTTCAGTTTGGTTCGTCGTCGTCGTCGTCGACGTTGCCGTCGTCGCCGTCTGGGGGCCCCAGGCCGCAGCGAGTGGCCCTGATGAGAAATGGCCATTTCCAGCAGTTCATGACCGACTCGCTTTTGAACCGCTCACCGATTTGCTTTCGAACCGCTCGGTCGCTCCAGGCAGGCCAGTATGCTTTGGGGCTCGCTGAGGGGCAGCGAGCACGATGTGTGTCTCTGGGGCGACGGGGGAGAGGGCAATGCTCTCGTCGGGCAAGAGCAAGCATGAGCAGCCCAATCGTGGGCAAGAGCAAGCCTGAAATCAGAGCCTCTCGAGAAGGGCGGCGGTAAGGATTGCTGCTGACCGATCGAGCGCGCCCGCCGAGCGTGTGGGGATCTGGCCTTTCAAAGTACGCCTTCGGCGGCCGAGGGCCCGACGCAGGGCGCAGCGGAGTGCGCAGGCCGTCGTGCAGGCCGCGGCGGCCCGCCGGGCGCGCGGCGCAGGCTGCGCGCGCGGCCAGAAGCGGAGCGTCGTGTGCTCCCGGCGGCCGAGGCCGTGGCATGCGACGCAGCGGGCGTCCGAGGGCACTACGACGACGACGACCACGACGACGACGACGACGACGACGACGACGACGACGGCGACGACGACGACGACGACGACGACGACGACGACGACGGCGACGACGACGACGACGACGACGACGACGACGACGAGCGGCGCCGCACACGGTTGACCGAATGCTGTCGAAGCCTACGGTCAACGCGCATAGTAGGGTTAAGTCGGGCGTGTCCCCCTCTACAGGGGGATGTTCGACGAAAAATAAAAGATACCCCACAAATGCCCCCCTTAGGTCAAAACATATTAAACAAATACTCCCCAGACTATTTTGGGACTATCTTTCGATTATTTTGAGGGCATGTTCTTTATTTGTCGTCGAAAATTGCCATGTAGTGGGACAGGCCCGACTTAAGCTTACGGTCAACACGCATAGTAGGGACGAGCGATTTTCCAGGGTTACCTCTGCGTCCATCGCCTTCGGCCCATGCCTGGCCTCTCTCGCTGGCCGCGCCCCGCTCGCAGAGCGTCGGCATGGCCTCCCAGGGCCCTATATCCTCCTTGGCATCGCTCGGACGTGTGCATTTTTCCGTCGGCGAGGAGCATCGAGGAGCATCCTTGATCATTTGGCGAAACATCCACGCACGAAACTGAAAAAAAGCAGGGAATGGACGTCCGAGCGATGGCGAGCCTCATCGTGCATGCTTATCATGTGCGCTGACCGACCCCATCTATTCCGACCTCATTTGGGAGGCCTCTAGTGTCGGACACCATTTGGCTGCCGACAACCTTCTCAGCCTTGACCAGCTTATCAGAAACCTGACCTGCAGGGGTACGGTTTGATTGAGGGTCAGAGTCCCACTCCATAGGGTTTTACCCCACAGGGCCACCACCCCATGGGGTGCCAGCCCATGTGGCCTCGCCCCAAGATGTTCTGCCCCAGAGGGTTCTGACCTCGGGAAGGGGGAGGATAAGGGGGACGGATGCGGAGGAGGTGAAACAGGAAGAGAAGAAAGACGAGCACGAGGAGACGGACGCGGCGGAACGTAGTCGCGTTCGATGCTGCAAGGTTTTGCCCAATACATGCTCGTCGTTGTGGGTTGTGGGGAGTTGGCCGCCATTCTTAAAGGACGACTCGAATGGGTAAGCGTCTCAGCTTCGCAGGACCCAGGAGAGACGATTGCGCCACTCCGAGGCAGCGGACCGGTTGTTCTGCTGCGCCCGCTGTGACGAGCAAGGCCTGACCTCGAATCAGCTCCACAGTCGCGCAGTCTCAGCGCCTCGCCCTGCCACTCCCGGTGCCCGCGACCGCAGGAGAGGGAGAGCACCCTGCCGACGGATTCCACCTTCAGGACCGTGGCCTCCCTCTCTCTCTCTCTCTCTCCCTCCTCCTCCTCCTCCTCCTTCTCCTACTCCTCCTCCTCCTCCTCCTCCTCCTCCTCCTCCTCCTCCTCCTACTCCTACTCCTACTCCTCCTCCTCCTCCTCCTCCTCCTCCTACTCCTCCTCCTCCTCCTCCTCCTCCTCCTCCTCCTCCTCCTCCTCCTCCTCCTCCTCCTCCTCCTCTCTGCGCTGCATCCCTCTCAGACGATCTTGGGCCGAAGAGCATGCAGGCCTCCCCGCGGAGGTCTCTGCAGAGGCCCCCGCGGCGGCCACGGGAAGCCCCTGGACGGCCAGGAGAGCCAGAGGTGCCCGAAGCGCCGATGCCTTGGTCCAGGCCTCCTCCTCCTCCTCCTCCTCCTCCTCCCTCCTCCTCCTCCTCCTACTCCTCCTCCTCCTCCTCCTCCTCCTCCTCCTCCTCCTCCTCCTCCTCCTCCTCCCTCCCTCCTCCTCCTCCTCCTCCTCCTCCTCCTCCTCCTCCTCCTCCTGCTCCTGCTCCTGCTCCTGCTCCTGCTCCTGCTCCTCCTCCGCCTCTCGGACGAGCGGCGCAGGGAAGCGAGGTCGTCTTCACCGGCACTTGCGCGCAAGCCTCCCGGGCAAGTTGGCGCGTGAGCGCCCTCGTTGCCGATGCGGTGTGCTGCGCTGGAGCCCGCGCAATCGAGCCACCGCATACGTTCGTGATACCATCGTGCGTAAGACCCGCTTGTGTTCGTTGCTCAAATGGGGCCAAACAGATGTGGTCGGAGGATCGCGCCGCATCGCCAGTGCATCGGCGATGCGGCTCGATGTGGGGCCAGATTTTCTCCACGCCGACGTCTGGCAGGGCGTCTTGGCACTGCCCATTCCACTCGGATTGGTCCTCTCCCTGGGACCGGCGTTTAATCCCGAGCCTGTAGGTTTGTGCACAGTCTTGGGGCCCCACAGAGACTGGCCTCGAGAGGCCGCAGAATCACCCCTGGCTCGAACTGGTACATTGGGATGCGCGCATACAGCGCAGTCCGGCGGCAGGGAATGGGAAGGCTTCGGGTTGCACACAGACAGCCCCCCAGGTAGCCCTGGCGGGCCTCAACCGTCCCCCCGAGTCTCCTCCTCCTCCTCCTCCTCCTCCTCCTCCGCTCCTCCTCCTCCTCCTCCTCCTCCTCCTCCTCCTCCTCCTCCTCCTCCTCCTCCTCCTCCTCCTCCTCCTCCTCCTCCTCCTCCTCCTCCTCCTCCTCCTCCTCCTCCTCCTCCTCCTCCTCCTCCTCCTCCAGGGTGGTCTCGACACCCTGGCGCCGCCTCCGGCGCCGCCTCCGGCGCCGCCTCTGGGGCGTCCCGCGCCCCAGACTGCTCGGGTGGCCTGTTGAGACCAGCTGGGGCCACTCAGAGGGCCTGTTGGGGCCAGCCAGGACTACCTTTATGTCGGGCCTGTCCCCCTACAGGGGGATTTTCGACGAAGAATGCAAAATACCCCAAAAATGCCCCAAGAAGGTCAAAACGTATTCAACAACTAGTCCCCAGACTATTGTTTGGATGATTTTTGGATTATTTTTGGGGCATTTTTGCGATTTTTTTTTGTCGAAAATCCCCCTGTAGGGGACACGCCCGACTTAAGACTACCTGAGGGGGGCTGTCTGCGCGCAACCCGAAGCCTCACCACTGGACCATTCCAGAGGCCGAGCATCCAGAGCCACCACGGCTCGAAGCGTCCGCAGAAGGCATCTGCTCACACCCCTCCGTCCGGCCAGTGTCATGCTGGGCATTGGCCGCCATTGGCCACCTGGTCAGTGTGGTTACTATTTTTCGGGCCCTTGGAGGTCTGAGCCCTCGCCTTCCCATGTCGGTTCGCACCAGGGGGTGGCGCGATGGGGGTGAGGTGGTTCTCGGAAGGCGTGGGCCTTCTTAGAAGGGCCTGGGAGTTTCGAAGGAGGCTCCTTCGAGGCCCGCAGGGCTTGTGAGATGCCGCCTGCCCTCGCGGAAGCGCCCCATTTGCTTTCTCTGAAGGCCGCGTCCCCCCCCCTCCCCCTTTTGCGCTCGCTGCCAATCTCCCTCCCTCCTTTCTCCTCGGTCCTCGATCTTCAATCCTCCTCCTCTTCCTTCTCCTCCTCCTCCTCCTCCTCCTCAGCATCATCCTTATCCGAAATTGTCGTCATTATTATCAGCATCACCATCATCATCAACAACAGTGCCACCATCATCATCACCGTCATCACCATCATTTGTATCATTCGTACCTTTATTATCGTCACATTCGTTAGCATCATCATCACCGCCATTCTCAGCATCATCGGCACCACCATTAAGTTCATCATCAGCAGCATCATCATCAACATCATCAACAGCATCGCCATCACCATCAGCATCAGCATCATCATCAGCTTCATAATCATCAGCCTCACAACTATCACCATCACCATCACAATCATCATCACCATCATGAGTACCATCATCATCATCATCATCATCATCATCATCATCATCATCATCATCATCATCATCATCATCATCATCATCATCATCATCATTAGCATCATCATCATCAGCATCATCATCATTAACATCATCACCATCATCACCATCATCAGTATCATCAGCAGTATCATCACCATCACCAGCATCCGCATCAGCATCATCATCAGCATCACCATAATTACTATCATCAGCATCAGCATCATCACCATCATCAGCATCATCAACATCATCATCATCAACATCGGCTTCATCAGCATCATCAGCATCATCATTACCATCCCCTCTTCCCTTCCTCCCCGGCCCCTCCCGCCAGAGCCCCTGCCCTTCCCCCTGTCCCACTGCGCCCTCGGCGGCACCGAGAGCGAGTCCTGTTCAGGATTGGCAGGAGCTCCTGACAGTCTTCACTGTCCCATTCTCTCCGTACCACTCTCGACCGTGCCGACCGACTTTGGCCCCATCTCGTCACCTCTGTCGGGATGTGACTCAGTGAGATTCAGCATGGAGCTCGTTGTACCCAGGTCGAGTCTGCCCGAATCTGGCTTAATCCCGCTGAATTCCGCCTCCAAGCCGCGATGGGAATTGATGATTGGAGAGGCCTGACGGCCGGTGCCGCCGACCCTGATCGAAAGGGCTAGGAGTGGGGGGAGGAAGCGGAGGATGAGGAGGAGGAGGAGGAGGAGGAGGAGGAGGAGGGCGATGGGAATTGATGATTTGTTGCGGGGGTTCATACGGTGTGGAGCCGAAAGCAATATTGGGAAGATTCCCCTCCCGCGGCGGCCACTGCGGGGTGTCCTAGGGATGATTCCTTTAGATGTCCTTGGGCCCTTAGGGCTCCCAGGGATTCCTAGGATTCCTACGGGATCCCACGGGTTCCCAAGGCATCTCAGGATTCCCTTTTGGCGAGGAGGGCAGGGCGAGGAGGGAGAGCGAGGAGGAGGGCGATGAGGGGAAGAGCGAGGAGGAGGGGGGACGAGGGGTAGGGAGAGGAGGGGAGCGCGAGGAGGAGGGCGAGGAGGGAGAGTCATGAGGAGGGCGAGGGTGAAAGGGGACGAATATTTCTTTCCAGCCGAGAGCTTAGGGGAGGGGGGGGGCATTAGTAAAGACCCTCTGCGGTTAACTTCGGCGACTCTGGCTTCATGGCCTTCCTATCGGGGCGAACCGCCTTTTTCTACGAGGAGCATCCTTGAGGCCTCGCGCGGAGCGTAACAGTTGTATGACTCCTCTCGCTTCGCGGGGTGCACGTCTGGAGCACGTAAAGACTAGGTGTTGGGTGGTTTGCCTTGCTCGTCTGCCGCGAAGTTCTGCCATGTCTTTCTGTCCGCCCAGGGGACGCTGGTGTGGGGGCCTCGTGGAAGTTTCTTGGAGGCCTTTGTGAGCCTCTTGGAGGCATCTTTGGGACCCGTTGAGTCCTTTTGGGGGCGTCTTCGGCCGTCTGGGGGCGCTCTTGCGCCGTCTCGCTCCTTAAGGGGGCCGTCTTGGGGGCCGCTCGGGGCCGCCTTGGGGCTCTCTTGGGGTCCGCTTGGGCCGTCTTGGAGGCCTCTTGAACCGTCTTGGGGGCATCTTTGGACCATCTTGGGGCCCTCTAGGCCCGTCTTGGGGCCCTCTTGGGGGCCTCTGAGGGCGTCTTTGGACTATCTTGGAGGCTGCTTGGGCCGTCACTGGACCCCCTGAGTCGGAGAAGGCGAGAGCGCGAAACTCGTTCAAACACATAGAAATTCATATTTGGGGCATCTGGAGGTGCTCTTGGGGGCCCCCTTGGAACACTCTTGGGCCCTCTGGGGAGCCTTAAGAGCCCGTGTGGGTCCCTCTTGGACAGTCCAGAGGCTATGTTGAGCCATTTGGAGGCCCTTCTGGACCCGCAAGAAGTCTCAGGGGCCGGTATCATAGAGGTCCCATACTCGTGGCATGTGTTTGGAACCCAGACGGGGGGGGGTCACGAGGGGAATCCACGTCCAGAAGTGACGCGTTGGCGGAGGCAGGCCTGCGGAGGCGATGATGCAACGTATCACGTCTACCAAAGGACTTGACATTTGCGATGTCTCCCAATATGGCAGACTTGCTACATGTTGTGTTGTGTTGCATTCTTGTGTCTCCCCCCTAACCCCGTCCCCGAGCCACGCCACATCCACCGTACCAAAAGTGGGGACCCCCTTTCGGGCCTCAAAAACATTAGCCTGGCGAAAGACCCAATGCAGCTGTGAATGCCGTCTTCGTGAGCAACGCGTTCGGTGGATGTTCCTACGGGGCCGCGGGGGGAGCCAAGAGGTGCCCCTCCGCCCGCGGCGGGGTCGCGTCGTGCCGGCGCGGCGGCGACCCCGCCGCGGGCAGTCGTGGTGGAGCGCCGCAGGTGGCCCAGAGTCTCGGGCCGGACGAAAGGGGGGGATGGGGAAAGGTTCGAAGCACCTTTCGTGGTCTGCACGAGATGCTCTTCGAACATGTTCTGGCTGGGTTCTGTCTTGTTTTGACACGTCGGGGCTATGCTCTAAGGACCTTGTTTTTGTTCTTCGAACATGTTTGGGGGTTCTAAGAACGCGTCGTGGTAGGCCTATATCGGGCAGGACGAAAGGGGGGGATTGGGAAACGGGGGGGTACGAAACTTGCTGCGTGCAGCTGGTTTCGGCCCCACCGAGGGGCCCATTCCTCGATACATAGCCGCCTCCGGCGCCCGGATGCGCCGGGAAAATCAGCTACATGAGCCGATTCTCAAACCCCCACTTTGCCATCCCCCCCCTTTTTCGCCCGACCCGAGCATCGGCCAATACGGAACGATCTGACCACGAGGAAGCCGCCGATGGTCCTCCTCCTCCTCCCTCCTCCTCCCTCCTCCTCCCTCCTCCCTCCTCCCTCCTCCCTCCTCCCTCTTCCCTCCTCCGTCCTCCTCCTCCTTCTCCTCCTCCTCCGTCCAAGACTGAGCGATCTCCGCGGCGTCGGGAGCCAGCGCTGGTGCCGCCACGGCGCGACCAGCTGCCGTGCCCCCCCTCGGGAGGCCGGGGCGCGCAGATGCGTCTCCCCGCGCGGAGCCGTCTGCCGCGCAGGAGCATCACGGCCTGCATCCAGCGGGCGCGCCGCCGCCTGCCCGCCGCCCGCGGCCCGCCGCCCGCCGCCCCCCTTCGGGGGCAACGTCAGGGCGTTCTCCTCCTCCTCCTCCTCCTCCTCCTCCTCCTCCTCCTCCTCCTCCTCCCCCTCCTCCTCCCCCTCCTCCCCCCTGGTTTTCCGCCAGCAGCGGCAGAGCACGCTCTCTCCCAGCTGGCATTAGCGACCTCACACCGCAGCGTACGCGGGCCGCCCGTACGGCACGAGACGTGGGGGCGGTTGTCGTCGGTTCGTCGCGCACGGCGTCCCCGATCCAGGGCGCGGTCGTGCGGCTTGGCGCAGCCGATGGCATCCGAGGTGGGTTCCGCGCCGAGGCACCCCGATCCGATGCAACATCTCGATTCGATTCGAGTTGCTGCTTCGATGCGGATTCGGGCCCCCGCGCAAGGGGGTTCTGGCGGGATCGTGGCACCTTGGTGCTTTCTCGCTCCATGACCTCAGGGCCCCCCTCCTGCAGCACGCTGTGACTCCGGCAGGCCGTGGCGGGAGCGGGGGCGCATCTTGCACAGCCTCCTCGCCCTCTGGGCGTGCTTCGGCCGCCCCCGGGCCGGATCTCCCAGCTGACATGACGGGCTATCGGTGCACTTGGCATCGCTCGGACGCGCGCATTCTTTCTCGGCGAGGACCATCGAGGAGCGGGCGCCCGAGATCGAAACATGCACGGGCACTGGCCGTCCGAGCGATGACGGGGACACCTCTGGGGCCCTTGGATCCTGGGGGCGCGGGGGCGCCGTGGCCTCTTACCCCCAAGCGGCACAAACCAGAGGGCGCGGTTGTCGGCTCGAGGTTCGAGGTCTCAGGTTTTCGCGCGTGCTTGTCGGCCTTCGGCTGTTTTCCAGCCTCGGGAGGCTTTCCGGCAGCTGCGCCTCGCCGAGAGCGCCCCCGGGTGCCCGGATCGTCCCGGACCGCCGCCAGGGAGCCGAGGTATGACCCGAAAGCCAAGGGGCAGCGACAGGGGGGGTAGGGCTCAGGGGGGGAAGGATCGACGCCCAATCGCACATTTATTTCCGATCGGCATCGGGGGCTTGTCGCCGATCCATCGGCGATGTATCGCCGATCGCAGTTCGATGTTTTAAACCCTCTCCCCGTGAATCAGTCCCCCCGTATCGTTCCCGATCTTCCCGCTCCAACGGCGACGCCCACGGCGTCCACCACCACGTGGCGTGTTTCCCGTTGGCATCCTAGCATCGGGAGGAAGTTTTCTGCGGTTTTCGGCCAAGCTGGTTTGTTATTGGAGGTTTTTCTCGCCTCGGCATGCCTTCCAGCAGCTGCGCCTCGCCGAGGGCGCTTAGGGGGTGCCCGGTGAACTATTAGCACAGACGTCAGCAATTCACTATCCTTTCACAAGTGTTTGGAGTATTCTCGTCCCGACGTCGTTTGATGTTCAGGGGCCATTGAGTCATGTACAAGAGTTGCGTATTTTCCGCTTTGGAGTGATAAACGCGATGATCTGAATTTCGTTTATTCTAGGGACTAGGGTAGAATTAACCCGCTACCGTCGGTTGATATTGGTAGCGGAGCCCGAGATCCACACTCCGGCTTTCCCGTCGCCGCCACGTTTAGGACGCTTTCTCGCGCCCCGCCCCCAGCCGCGCCGGGGATTTCGACCTGGGACGGGGGAGCAGGCCTGAGCAACACGGCGCCGAGCTAAGACTTGCTGAGGACCGAAGGTTACAGAGCGTTTCGCAGGAGGCTCCAGGTCTTCGAGCGATGCTACAGGAAGCGCGGCACGACAACCATCAGCGAGGGTGCGGTCTTAGTGATGAATTCGCTACGAGGCGACACCGCGGATGCTATGGAAGACATCGAGTTGGACCAGCTGGAGAGCGACGATGCCTTAGCCCCGCTGTTCAGGACATTGGGCGAATATTTCAAGTACGACACTCAGGCAGAGCTGCCAGCCCACACAAATCAGTTATTAGTAAATTCGCTGGTGATGCTGGCTTCTCACCAGCAGTAGGTACGGAGACCGAAGGCAATCGGCATGGAAGTCACTGGCATGTTGGCGGGATGGCACCCCCGCACCCGCGCGGCGATCCCACCACCGGGAGCCACCCGGGCCCGGAGTCCATGCGAGGACGGCGTCAGCTGGACCAGAAGGGATGCGGCCCTGCCCGATACATACGGAGCCGAGGGATTGCCCGACAAGCGGCGGATCTCGCCCCGCAAAACGAGCAGGCCATGATCAGCGTGGAGGTGGACGACAAGATGCTGCTGCTGGGTGAGTCAGCGGAGACCACATACATGCTGGCGTTCAATATGTAGCCCCCCGCTGTAGTCGAAGGCCAGCTTGCCCCCGACGAGAAGCTCCAGCTCTACGAGGCCAAGTTGGAGGCCTTCTAGATCTTCAACCGGAATTATGGTTGGGAGCCCAGAGACGAGGAGGACGTTGATCCAGCATGCTTCTGGCTGAAGTAGAAGATGAAGAATGGGCAGATGATGGCCAACGCGCTTGCGCCGTGCCTGTGCTTCAAGCACCGCGACGTGCTGACAAGGTGGCGACGGCCCACTGCAGGGCTCGACCAACACACAGTCATGGCGCGGGCGTCTCTGAGGGAGTAGAGGTTGTTCACCGCGGGCGTGAAATTCGAAGTCTTACAGGCGGCAGACGCAGGCACGCGCGGCTTGAAGTTGTGCGCCAGCCTGGCCCAGGAGATGCGCGACGTGGTGACGCTCCAGATTGGTCTGCAGCCTCGTCAGCTGCTGAAGACGATCAATCCGCGGTACGCGGGCCCTCGGTCGCCCAAGTTCTGGCGCTATCGCCCCGATGATGTCGCGAAGGAGATCGGGCTTAAGAATCACTTGGGCGACCCGCTCGACGCGCGCAGTTCCGAGGGCCAGACTCACGCGATGGCTGGCCTGATCGGCGAGTACGCGGGCGATTTTTCCGGTTGTGGCGAGGGAATTGCGAGGAAGACCTCTGCGCGAAGTTGCGGCGGGGTGCGCTCGCCGAGAAGTTGCAGTTCGGCAAGGGGACGTTCGGGCCGAGTCTGATCTTCGCAGGAGGCGAAGTAAATCAGCCCCATGAGAACCCGCGCGGTGAAAGTCAGGTTCGAGAAGAACCTGCGCGCTGCGAAGCCAACCGTCGCGGAGAAGCATCGGAGGGCGGATTTTGCTGGTGCGTTGGCGCCGCAGGAGTTGCTTATTTTCAGGGCGTTCAACGGACATCTGCAGCGGCCCGCGTCTATAGGCGTGATCATAGTTGCCGCCGCAGCGTCCTTCGGCGCTGCAGCCACGGGTGACGCACCGTCCAGGACTTGCCCGATGCCAACAATAATACGAGGGTCCTGGAGGCCAACGCCGACGTGGCTCTTCTTCGGTTTCGACAAGTCGTGGATCGACTTGCGCGCGGGTGGCCATTCGGGCGCGAGCGGTGCCATCCGGCACGACGGGGGCCCACAGGGTGGCTACCAGATATTCGCGGGGCCCGCCGAGGAGCTCAAAGCAGGCGAACCGACGCCAATCGCGGCCGCGGAGTGGGCTTCGAAAAGCTGCAGCTGCTTTGCAGGACACCGCTGCCTGCGAACGCGCAGGCCGCCGCGCTCGGCGTGGGCGCCCTGGTGCGGGCGAAGGTCTACATGTCGAAAAACATGGCGGGGCAATCCATTTATCTTGGCGAGCCGCCGTGGACGAAAAGTGCTTCCGCGACGTTCTGAGGTTGGTCACCGACGGCCTGGGCATCTCAGAGAAGCTCGCGGCGATTGAGGTCCAGATCGTGAACGGCCACATGGCAGAGATCGACGCAGTGTGGAGGTGGGTGGATACCCGACAGCAGATGGCGGATCGGCTGACCGCGCTTTCTGGCCGTCGGGCGATGGTCGATGTGCCAGAGCAGGCTGGCGACGAGCTGCAGGAGGGCTCCGAGGCGAGCCCGTAGGCGAAACCGCGAGGCGGTCGGTCCAGTTGAACTAGTGGACGACGACTGGCAGCTACACTCGCGGCAGGGGCAGCATCGATCGCGGCAGGAATCAACAGTGTGATGCCGACGCCTAGCGACGTTGCCTGCGCGCAGCTAGCGAGGCGCGATTACTAGTGTTACGTCAGCCACGAGGGCTGCGATTACTTCCTCTCTGGCGGTGGCCCTGACCGTGATTTCGTTCGCTGGCGGCTTCAAACTAGGCCAGTGGTAGACCTAGATGAGCGGGGCGATGGAGATGGCCGCTGCGCCGACGCATCGCAGCTCAGAGGAGATCGCGCAGCCTTAGAAAAAGTATTCGTAGCCCAAGAGCAAGAAGAAGCAAATTACCCATGACGTTTGCTGCCAGGCCCCGACGAGGTGCAACATCGACCTGGCGACGCCGAGGACCCAGCCTTTGCCCGACTACGCCCGCGGCGCATTCCTGACAGCAGGCGCGCGCTGAGCGCCCGAGAGGCTCGCCTTCACGGGCCAGTTGCCGCCCCGGCGCGTAACGGCAACCAGGCGAGAGCGGCCGCTCGCCTGGATCAGCTGGTCGAATCGAGGATTGATCTTGTCGATATCGTGACCGGCGGTGGTTTTCACATTCATGTCTACAGGCTTGTGCGCGGGACCTGGCGGTGTTCGGCGTGAGTTTTCTATTATAGTTAGGTGCTGGTCGTTGTAGTTCGAGTTCTGAACTCAGAATTTAGATCTCATATAGAACATCGGCGACTTCCCGTTCCAGGATAGGTGTGCTAACTTTTGTCCGCCTTTAATGTAAAACCCGTTTTGTTGAGTTTGCGCGTGTACGCGTCCCTACGCAGATGTTTACAATGCGTCGTCGTTTCACAAATGTTTGATGCATTGTCGTTCCGACGTCATTTGATGTTCCGGGGCCCTTGGGTCAGGTTACGAAATTGCGTATCTGTTTCAGTGGATATAACACCCTGTTATTTGAGTTTCGTTCATTTCCGAGTGGACTTAATGTGCTACCGTCGGTTGATACCCGGATCGTCCTGATCGGCCGCTGGCCCGAGCGATGGCCCGAACACGTGGTTTTTCTACCACACCGGTTTCCATGACCTTCTAGAGTGCTAGAGTTAGCCCTCCAGAATTTCAGGCCCATGCCGACATAATAACACTTCGTCTGGAATGTAGATGTCGAAGTCTTGTGTTACCATTCTGACTTCCTGGAAGATCAGGGTTGGGTCTACCCAGACACACGCGCGCGAGTGGGCCGAAGCAGCTAATTTACAAGAGTGGCACTTGGATTGATTTAGCGCGTGTGTTCTGGCCGCCCAACCCCGCTCTGGATTCGGTAACCCTACGCTTTTCGTAACCTTCGTGGTGATGTAGATGCAGGGAGCAGCTCGGGTCCGTCTTGTTATTCCGGCATCGGTATTTTTCCGTTATCCGATTTTCAGCCTTTTTTCTGCCATTTGTCGAAGAAGAAGCACACGGCAAGTACATGAGTTTTCGGAATTTCGCTCAGATTTCTCGGATTGGCGCCAGGGGGATCCAGCGCAGATCCGAGAAATCCGCGCGGTCCTCCGAAAGTTCATGTTTATGGAACTAGTTGGTTCTCCTAGCACCGGTATATTGGGTTATCCTAGAGCCTTTCTGGTATGTCGTTTCGGAGCCTGCTTCTGAGGCCCCACATGAGGGAGCGAGGGCGAGAGGAAACTCAAGCAATCAAACGGCAGCCACTTTTTGTTCTTGGTTCTGGCATCTCGCCCTCCCCCCCGTCGGGGCCGCAGGGCCATCGAGGAACCGTCTTAGTGTTCCAGCCTGGGGCCAAAGTGGTGCTCAGGTCTTCGTGGGATCCAGAGGCCATCGGAGGCTTTCGTGGAGCCAGGTGGCCAACCCATTTTGGTATCTGCTGTAGGGCCCACACTGTCTTGAGTTATTTTGGGGGGCTCCTCCTGGTCCCCCGCGATGCGTGGACCGGCTCCTCCTCCTCCGAGGAGGAGGCGAACCAATAATTCCGATTCGACGGCCTCTGACTCTCCGGCGCGCTTAGCATGCTAGGCGTGGGCTCATCATCCAGGCTTGTTCCGAGGAGGACAGTAAATCGGCGGCGAGCAAGGAGGGTCATTGAGAAGGAGAAGGCTTCTCAGAAGGTTCGGAAGTCCCCCGGCCTTCTGAGAAGTTTTGTCAGCCTGCCCCGAAGAAAGAGAAGACTTCTCAGAAGTCGCGAGGGTTTCTGAGAAGCCCCGCCTTCTAAAGCCTAGAGGCATCGGTGCTGCTGCAGTGCACCTTTTCGTCCCGAGTCCCTCATGCGTCCCTGCAGGCGTTCCCTGTTCATTGCAAGAGGCGCCCCCCTTGAAGGGCCAGCGCACCTGGGTCTGCCAGGTTGGCGAGGGCCCCGCTTTGAAGACGGAGCTGCCTTGAGTCTTTCTTGGCGCAGACTCCAGGGACGCGAGAAACGATGGTCAGACAGTTCCAACGAGGTCTCCAGAGAGATCCCCCATTTCGTAGAAGAGCCGCCCCCGGATGAGGAGGAGAAGGAGTATAGGGGGATCGCCCAGGCCCTACTCTGAGCCAGGGCTTGCGCCGTGGGTTGCGCCGCTCAGCGCGCCAGAGCTGAGCTGCGCCGCGGAACACATATGAAGCACCTGAGGTGTTCCCATGATCTGCCGCGGCTGGGCCCTCTCTTGGTCCCTCCTGTATGCCTCCTGTGGGCATCTGTCGAGAAAGAAGACACATCATAAACATGAACCGTCGGAGATCCGCGCGGATTTCTTGGATCTGCATTGGGCTCCCCTGTCTGCATCTCTGGCGCCGCCCCTCTGGCGCCGCACCTTGTGCGCTCCGTGCGCCATCGAGGGGGTTCAGCGCAGACCCAAGAAATTCGCGCGGACCTCGTAAAGTATATGCTTCTGTAAGTGTTTTATCTCCTAATTTTGAGGGCCGTGGTTTGCATCGCAGTCTACCCTCACACTCGAAATCATCAGTCAAAGGTTAGCCAGCGTGGATCCCAACCAGTAACTTATTCCATCGTGAATGTGCAAGCTATGTGGTGCAATCTATGTGGTGTAAGCTATGTGGTGCAGTTAACATGGTGCAAACTATAGGCGACAAAGATGCGGTAACTGGCGAAACCTCGCCGGACCCACCTAGCGCACGAAAGGCAAGTTGGCGGCAACGGGCGGTAACGTGGCGAAATCTCGCGGGACCCATCAAACTCCCTAGTAACATCGGGCATTGAAAGAACGCCCACCCAAACAAGTCGAATCAGGAAATCTGCATTGATTCACCCGACATAGGCATTCGAGTGTACCAGTGCAGCCCCAAGTCGGTTTCGCTAGTCGACGTACGTTTCGCCGGATAAATTCGGTTGAGTTTGGAACGTCGCTTGGTTATCCCGCCCAGATCCACCCGGAATGCGGTGCAGTGCGCAGGTGGACCGCCCCTGTAAGTTTTCCTTAAGGGGCGTATTGCTAAGGGATTATCTTGCAATCCTCGATAACAGAAGGAATACCCATTGATGCAAGCGCTGTTTGGGGAACAGCGTCGTAAAGAGAAGACGTTGTCGGAGCTTGAGGCCGCTCGCCAGCGTCGCTTCTGCCGCTTCGGCTGCACGGCTACCTTCTCGTTGTCCTGCCTTTCCTCATGTCGTCTGTCTGATCCTCTTCTCCTCGTCTCGTCCCAAGATGACCGACGATCTGTTTTTGCTCCAATCCAGACGCTTCTCTTTCATTCCGGCCTCTGGAGCCTCAGAGGCCTGCTTTCGGGCCTTGGGACAATCAGAAACGGATCGGGGACAGACACGTTCCCCTGGGCAAGCGATCGGGGCCTTTGGGGCCGCGGATTTTGAGATTGCCTAGAGACCCATCAATGAATGTCCTAAGATCAGTGTGGTGGGCGCGAATTGTTCTCAGAACATTTCTGTCTGAGACTGCCTTGTCTTAACACGTCGGCTTGATGCCATAAGAACGGTGTTGTTGTGATCAGAACGCTCCTTGTGTTCTAAGAACATGCCTTGGTAGGCCTGTAGTAGGGATGCCGGGAGGGTCGGTCCCTGCTCAAGGTTTTGAACATCAGACAGGTCAGTGAGGTATATGGGCCTCACAGAGGAGAGGGAATCACCAATCACCGCCGCACCGCCACATCGAGGGTGTGCTGGTGGAGAGGATGTTACCAGCTTGAAACATGTCCCTACCTCTATGATTGGCATCGCTGATCTCGATGCCGATCTCAAGAATTCCCTCTGTTTCTGAGGGCACATCCCCAAGATTATCATCGCTTTGGGCTTGCCGATCTTAGGGTAGGGATAAGTTCGAGGCTGGTTAGATGGCAGGTGCGGCGGCGGTGCGTTCATCTTCTGGGCGCTTTGGCGGGGAATCCATCCCCCGATGGACGAGAGAAGAAGAAGAAGATGGCGTCGACTGCGCGGGCATCCGCGCGCAGGCGTGCGTAAGGCCGCGCGTAAGCGCCCTCTTCTCCACGCGGTGTGCCACGCTGGCAGCCCGCGCAAGCCGCGGCGTAGGGTCGCGATGCCATCGTGCGTGAGACCCGCTTTTTCTTTCGTTGCTCAAATGGCTGTCGTGGTGAGCTTCGTTCACCCTGTCCGACTGCCTCCCCCAAGCTTCCCTCCCCTGTTTCAGTGGATGATCGATTATTTCGGCAGCGTATCATGGGAGCCCCGTATGTCTTGTTCCTTCCGTCTTTAGCATCGAATCGATGAGACAGTGCCGATTTAACGTCGTTAGCGTCGACCAGCGTCGATGTTGTGTCGACTAGCGTCGATTTGCAAGAGCCGACAAGATGGTATGGGAGGCTCCTATGAGTTGCTGCCAAGCCTCCCACAGCTTCCCTCCCCTGTTCGAGTAGGAGATCGACTACAGAATGTATGTACCACAAGGTGCTGTTTGTCACATCGACAATCGACGTACACTACGCATACGTCTTCAAGGCTTTCTACGCATGTTCGCAACTGTGGCGGGACAGCCAAGTTTGGGGTGCGTCAAGTCTGTCGTCGCGATCTCCTGCTCGGCCTGTCGGGCACTCCTGGTCGGCAGGCCAAGCTGCGCGAGATGCAGAGCTCCAAGGGGCGCGACGGAGTGGTCGCCGCCACCCGCCCCTCCGCGGCAGCGCCGCCCTCGGCGATGGGGTCTCCTCTTCCCCTGACGGGAGCCCGCGGCCGCGGCCACTCCGCCGGCAGGGGCTGCGGAGAGGGGATGGTTTCCAGGGAGTGAGGGTCACAGGGCTCGTTTCGATTTCTCCGATTCGATTCGATTTCGGCTTCGATGGATTCCTGTTCCGATTCGATTCGATTTCGGATTCCGAGTCGGGCTCCGATGCTGTATTGGACGCATGCCAGCCTTCCGAGTTCCGCCGATTCGGCTTTTCCCGACTCGGCTGCCGATTTCCGCCGATCCGACTTATTTCGATCGCCGATCCGACTTATCGATTCGATTCTGGGCTCCCCTGGGGTCAGAGGAGGAAGTTCGAGAGGACGCGGAGATGGATCAGAAGGTGTGGATCAGCGACGGGCCTATTTCCATACAGCATCGGCGCGCGCTGTCACCAGAGGAGGCGGCACTGGCCTCACGTGTCGGGGGGCACCTCCCCCGATCCGTGGATCTGCCGCCCCCGCGCCAGATCCACGGACCACCACACCACGTCAGCGTGCGCCCGTGAATTGACACCCTCGAGGCAGGCGACCTTGCACAGCTTTCCGCAGGGGCCCAGCAGCCCATCTCCTGGCCCTTGGGAGAGGCCCCCAGGTAGGCTTGCCCAGGGGGCTCCTCTGTGTGTCTTTGAGCTTGCGAACGGCCGGTGGGGGGTGCTCGGCCTGCGCCGGCCGGCATTTCCAGGGGTCCCCAGGTTCCGCAGGTGCGTTGGGTCTTGTGTCTTCTCTGGTTTGGATGGTCAGTTTGCCTCGAGTTCCCCGGGTCCCCGGGATCCTTGGTCTTGAGTCTCTTCTCTGTCTGAAGAGGCGTTGTCCAGGCCGCAAAGTCTGGCAACTCAGTGTCAGGCAGTGTCAAGCGATGCCAAGGCCAACTCATGCCAAGCAATGCAAAGAGCAGCAAATCAGCACCAAGCCATGCAAGGCGACGCCAAGTAATTCCAAGCAACGCCATGTAACGCAAAGCAGCGCCACGTATTGCGAAGCAATGTCAGGCAAGGGCAGGCAATACCAAACCATGCGAAGCAAAGCACTCCAAAACAGATCAAAACAATTCCAATACGTAGCACCCCGCAATTGCGGATATTAGTGAGGGGGCGGGCGCGGGCGACGCGGGCGTCGAGCCGGCAGACCTCGTGGCCCTCACTTTCCCTGCGTCCTCGTCCTCACCGTCGTTGTCGTCGTCCGCCTCCTCCTCCTTCTCCTCCTCCTCCTCTTCCTTCTTTTCCTCCTCCTCCTCCTCGTCCTCCTCCTCTTCCTCCCCTATCCCGATCCTCCCCCCTCCTCCTTTCCGTCGTCGTCTTCCTCCTCCCCCTCCTCCTCCTCCCTCCTTTCTCGTCGACCTCCTCCGTCCCCCCCTCCTTTTCCACCTCGCCCTCGTCGTCGGCCTCCTCTTCGTCCTCGTACTCGTCGTCGTCGTCGTCGTCGTCGTCGTCGTCGTCGTCGTCGTCGTCGTCTTCCTCCTGCTCCTGGCCCTGCTTCTCCTCCCCTCCTCAGCGGCAGCAGGCAACTGGATTGCCAATGAACGTGTTCAGACACAGCCCCGCCGCAGGCGCCGATGTGCTGTTGCTGAGTCAACGTGGGCCGGATCGGGGGAGTGGCACGAGGGCGCTTTCCCAAACCAACGCGAGCAAACCCGCCGCAGGCGCCGATTTGCGTGCTCTGACAAGTTCAGCGCGGGGGGGATCGCTGGTGGGCCATCCAGAAAGAATGCAACAGAACCCCGCCGCAGGCGCCGAATTTTGGGTTTGTTCAGTGAACTTAGCTTGGGTCGCGGGTGGGTCGTGGGTTCTCCACCTCCACCTGGAAGGAGCTCAAAAACAGCCCGCCGCAGGTGCCGCACATATTGATTTGCACCATGAACGCGGTTTGGGTCGCAGGTTCTCCACTTAGAACGAATGCAGAATAAGCTCGCCGCAGGCGCCGAAGTTTTGGTTTGTTCAGTGAACGTAGTTTGGGTCGCGGGTGGGTTGCGGGCTCTCCACCTCCACCTGGAAGGAATTCAAAAACAGCCCGCCGCAGGCGCCGAACATTTTGATGTGTACAGTGAACGCGGTTTGGGTCGCGGGTGGGTTGCAGGTTCTCCACCTGGAACGGTTGCAAAAGAACCCCGCCGCAGGCGCGGTCGCGGGGTGGGTTGCTGGTGGGTCGCGGTGGGTCGCGGGTGGGTCGCGGGCGCGGTTTGGGTCGTGGGTGGGTCGCAGGTTCTCAACCTGGAACGAATGCAAAAGAAGCCCGCCGCAGGCGCCGAAAAATTCGGGTCGGTCGCGGGGTGGGTCGCGGGTGGGTCGCGGGTGGGTCGCGGGTGGGTCGCGGGTGGGTCGCGGGTGGGTCGCGGGGTGGGTCGCGGGTGGGTCGCCGGGTGGGTCTCGGGGTGGGTCGCGAGGGGGTCGCGGGGTGGGTCTCGGGGTGGGTCGCGGGCGGGTCGCGGGGTGGGTCGCGGGTGGGTTTCGGGTGGGTCGCGGGTGGGTCGCGGGGTGGGCCGCGGGTGGGTTTCGGGTGGGGTCGTGGGTGGGTCGCGGGTGGGTCGCGGGGTGGGTCGCGGGTGGGTCGCGGGGCGGGTCGCGGGTGGGACGACGACAACAATTAACAAACAAACAACTAACACCAACAACAACAACAACAATAATCCGCATCGCGGAATTCCACTTCAGCCACGCACCCAGGGACAGTGCATGACCGTTCGGTTCAGCCCCCTCACTCTGCCCAATACGTAGCACCCCGCATTTGCGGATGGAATGACAGGGGCGGGCGCGGGCGACGCGGGCGTCGAGCCGGCGGACCTCGTGGCCTCACCTTCCCTGTCGATGGCGCCCTCCTCCACCTCCTTTTCCGCCTCCTCTTCTTCCCCCTGTTCCTCCTCCTCCTCGTCCGCGTTCTCGTCCTCATCGTCGTCGTTCTCGTTCTCCCCCTCCTCCTCCTCCTTCTCCTCCTCCTTTTCCTCCTCCTCCTCCTCCTGCTCCTCCTCCTCCTCCTTCTTCTCCTCCTCCTCCTCATCTTCCTCCCCCATCCCTATCCTCCCCCTCCTCCTTTCCGTCGTCGTCGTCCTCCTCCTCCCTTTCCTCCTCCTCCTCCTCCTCCTCCTCGTCCTCCTCCTCCTCCTTCTCCTCCTCCTTCCTCCTTTCTCGTCGTCCCCCTCCGTCCGCCCTTCCTTTTCCACCTCGCCCTCGTCGTCGGCCTCTTCGTCGTCGTCGTCGTCGTCGTCGTCGTCGTCTTCCTCTTCCTATTCGTTCTGCTTTTCCCCCCCTCAGCGGCAGCAGACAATTGGATTGTCAATGAACGTGTTCAAACACAGCCCCGCCGCAGGCGCCGATGTGCTGTTGTAGAGTCAGCGTGGGCCGGATCGGGGGATTGGCACGAGGGCGGGGTCCCAAACCAATGCGAGCAAACCTGCCGCAGGCGCCGATTTGCGTGCTCTGACAAGTTCAGTTCGGGGGGGATCGTTGGTGGGCCACCCGGAACGAATGCAAAAAAGAACCGCCGCAGGCGCCGAATTGTTGGCTTGTTTAGTGAACTTAGTTTGGGTCGCGGGTGGGTCGCGGGTTCCCCACCTCCACAGGGAAGGAATCCGTACACTGAACGCGGTTTGGGTCGCAGGTTCCCCACGTGGAACGAATGCAAAAGAAGCCCGGCGCAGGCGCCGAATTTCCGTTTTGTTTTTTGGGTTTTTTTTTTCTCCGTGAACGTAGTTAGGGTTGCGGGCTCTCCACCTCCACCTGGAAGGAATTCAAAAACAGCCCGCCGCAGGCGCCGAACTTTTTGATTTGCACAGTGAACGCGGTTTGGGTCGCGGGTGGGTCGCAGGTTCTCCACCTGGAACGAATGCAAAAGAACCCCGCCGCAGGCGCCGATTTTTTTGGGCGGGTCGCGCGTGGGTCGCGGTTGGCGGCGGGTGGGTCGCGGGCACGGTTTGGGTCGCGGGGGGGTCGCAGGTTCTCCACCTGGAGCGCATGCAGAAGAAACCCGCCGCAGGCGCCAAAAATGTTGGGTGGGTCGCGGGGTGGGTCGCGGGTGGGTCGCGGGTGGGTCGCGGGTGGGTCGCGGGTGGGTCGCGGGGTGGATTGCGGGTGGGTCGCGGGTGGGGTCGCGGGTGGGTCGCGGGTGGGTCGCGGGGTGGGTCGCGGGGTGGGTCGCGGGGCGGGCCGCGGGTGGGACGACGACAACATCAAACAGTAAACAACAAGCAACAAGCAACAACAATAATCCGCTCGCGGAATTCCATTTCAGCCACGCACCCAGGGACAGTGAATGACCGTTCGGTTCAGCCCCTTCATTTTGACATACCAAACAACGCATTGCCAAGCAATGCTTGGGAATGCCAACCCATGCCACGCATCACCAAGCAATGCGGCGCAGTGCAATGAACGCCGACTAATGCCAAGCAGCCGAGCAATGCCGCTTAGAACGCATTCCCCTATGCCAGCGATCTCCCCGTCCTCCTCCACTTACTTCCGCATTCGTCATATTATCCCTTTTCCTCCTTCTCCTGCTCCTCTTTCTCCTTGTGCTTGGGAAGGGGCCGAGTGGAGAGGAGGCACGACACGGGCTTCACAGTCCTGCGTGCTCGCGTAGCTAGTCTGGCCGACTCGCGCCCCTACGGGTGCCGCGTTTCTGGCCCGGTGCTCTCCTTCCTCGGAGACCCTCGTCGTTACCTTTAAGTCGGGCCTGTCCCCCTACAGGGGTTTTTCTACGAAAAACAGCAAATGCACCAAAAAGAATCGAATATGATCACAAAAATAGTCTAGGGACGATGTTTTGACTATGTTTGACCTTTTGGGGGTATTTTTTGGGTATTGTTTATCTTTCGTCGAAAATCCCCCTGTAGGGGAACGCGCCCGACTTAACGTTGCCTGGAACCCGTCGTCGATATCTGGAGCCTCTGGAGCTTTAGGCGCCTCCTCGGAGTCCCCCCTTCGTCATCTGGAGGGCAGCCTCGTCAGAGGAGTCACTCGGCGGCATCCGGGGCTTCCTGTCCCTCCTCGGCTCGGACATCCCAGAGGTCTGGGCCCCTTGAGGGGGACCAGGCCGTCACCATCGGGGCACCGCTCGCGATTTTGGAGGTGGCATTTCACGTTGGCTGCGCACTTTTTTCCCAACTTGGCCGAGCTGTGTGTGTGTGTGTGTGTGCCGAGCCTGGTTATAATCCATGCCCGGCCCCTGGAGGCCTCAGATTGCCGACGGCCCCACGCCGTTGTATGCTACTCGCGGCGCGGGATGCCAGGGTGCTCCTCCAGGGGGCTTCGGCGGCCTGTGCGCCCGGGCCGCCGCTGCCGCCCCCCCGTTGGCCGATGGGGCGCCAGGTCATCTCCGCCAGCCGGGGCAGGTGCACCGAGAAGGAGGAGCCCGGCCGCCGCAGGGGGTTGGCGGGCGCGCGCCCGGGCGGCGGGGCCTCTCGCGGCGTCCTGGCAGCGGCGGCGCGTCCCGAGCTGCTCAGGACCACCGCCACCGAGAACCCATCGGAGGGGGACTCCGACCCCATTTGCTCGGAATCTACCAACTTCGGGGGGAAGGTAAGACTGGCAGTGCGCCAGGACTCGGGTTTGCCGACGTTTCTGAGGAGCGCGTCCCGGTTTTCGACGGCCCAGTTTTCGCGGGATGTCTGCAGCGGAAGTTCGCGTCTAATTTCGGATGGGGTCTCGTCGTTTCCGAGATGGCCCCGTCAGGCCAGCCCGGGTCCCCCGAGCCCGCGTCTCGCGTCTCCCCCGATACGGTCGTGGCTGATGAGCAGGCCGACCCTGCCAGAGCAAGGCTACCCTGTGTGTCCTGCGCTTCGCGACCCATGTCAGCCACGCGCAGGCCGACCCTGCCAGAGCAAGGCTACCCTGTGTGTCCTGCGCTTCGCGACCCATGTCAGCCACGCGCAGAGGGGGGTGGGGGGAGGGGGGAGGGCTCCTTAGAAGCACCCCTGCTTCTTAGAAGGCGCGGGCCTTATCTACAGATGTAAGGCCGGCGCCCTCTCAGAAGCAGCCTGCTTCTCAGAAGCCCCCCCCCTCCCCCCTCCCCTTGGGCGCGCCGCCACCCATGCCTGCTGCACCTGCACCCCTCCGGCAGCGTGGCCCTCGGCAGGGCCTCGTGCCCCCTCGCGTCGGCCCCCTCCCAGTGCGCCCCCGCCTGCCATTCCCGGGAGGCGCGGCCGCCCGACGGCCGCGGCGGGGCCGTCGGGGGGGCGCCCTCCTTCGGCCCCGGCCGGTGTGGAATTTGGGAGCAGCGGGTCGGCCCGGCCTGCGCTCGCAAGCGGTGGCGGAGCGGCCTGGCTCGCCTGTAGGCCCACCAAGGATGAGGTTCGAAACACCTTTTCGTGGTCTGCACGAGATGCTCTTCGAACATGTTCTGGCTGGGTTCTGTCTTGTCTTGACACGTCGGGGCTATGCTCTAAGGACCTTGTCTTTGTTCTTCGAACAATTTTGGGGGTTCTAAGAACGCGTCGTGGTAGGCCTATATCGGGCTGGTCGAAAGGGGGGATTGGGAAAGGGGGATTTACGACATCTGCTGCATGCAGCTGGTTTCGGCCCGACCCACGAGCCCATCCCTCGATACATGGCCGCCTCCCGGCGCCGGGAGGCGCCGGGAAACTCAGCCACGTGAGCTGATTCTCAAACCCCCCATCTGCTATCCCCCCCTTTCGCCCGACCCGATAAGAGCACGTCGTGGTAGGCCTGTAGGGAATGCTGGGACGGTCGGCCCCTGCTCAAGCCCGCGGCCACCGCCGCGGGGCATCGCTCGGCGGGGGCCTCGACGGGCCGTGGGCGCGGACGTGCTCGGGCCCTTGGGGCCGCTCTCCGGGGGCCGTGCGGGAGGGCGTCGGGGGCCCGAGGGGATCGGGGGCGGCAAAGAGGGGGGTGATGACTAGGGGGGGGGGGGGGATATCATGGCGGGGGCCATGATATTTCCCCAGTTTTCATGGCGCCTCTTCTTGTTTCATTACGTCCCTGGCCCCCCCGCTGGGCCGCGCACATGCCGCTGGTCATGATTTGCACCCCCCCCTCTTGGACGCCCCCCTCTTCGCCGCTCCCGAGAGGAGGCGAGGCCGCCAGAATCTGCAAAAACGGCCAACGAACAAGCGGTGATTGTCGCCTCCTGGGGCCCTGATTTGGGGGACGGAGCCCTCTCGGAGCGTCTTGGGGTCCTCTTGGGCCGTCTGGGGCGGCCGGGCGGCCTCTGGGCGAGTCGGGGCCCTCCTGGACCGTCTTGGGGGCCTGCCTCTTGGGCCCTCTTGGCGCTTGCCCGTTTTGAGGGTCCCCTTGTCTCTGGAAAAAGCGGGCACACGCGCCGGAGCCCAGAAGCGCCATCGTTGCGGTGCGTGCCGATCCGACGTGCGTTCCGATCCGAGCCCATTTCCCGAACCTACCCACCCTGAGGAGGTTCAACGACTTTTCTGCAATCGACCTGATGGGATCAGGCCAGGCAGATCCAGATATGTCGAGGCACGTCCAGACGAGTCGAGGTGAATCCAGAGTCTCCCAAGGAAATCTGGGGCCCATCGTGGGCGCTCAAGCGCGGATCGACAGGAGATGTCGTTGCGCCCTCCTTTCTGCGGCGCGCCGCGGGGGGGAGTCGAGAGGGCAGGCCTTCTCAGAAGGGCGGGGCTTCTCAGAAGCCCTTGTGCCCTTCTTAGAAGACCTCTGTCGCTTCCTCCTCCTCCTCTTCCTCCTCCTCCTCCTCCTCCCTCCTTCTTTTTACTTGACCGGACATGAAGAACAAGTTTGCGACCAGCCGCGGTGGTTTGCCCGAGACATGTTCGTACTCATCGTCATCATCATGGTTACAGCATTATCATTACTCGTCTTCTTATTTCATCCTCGCATTCCTTCTGCAGTTCTCTGTGAGTGCACGTTTGCGCGCGCATGCGTCTGACTACTGCGTTACCTGGGTCCTGCAATATCTGCTGCGTGCACATCAGGAGGGGAAAGGGCGGCTCCCGATAATGGTCGGATTGACGACGACGATGAAAAAGACTGCATGTTTCGTCGCGCGCGCCCCCATCTCTGCGCACGAGCCTGCTGTCTGCGATCCATGGCGGCTGCACGCCGCGGAGAGACTGCTGCGGGCATGCTTGCGCCCCCTACACGCCCACCCCAAGAGAGAACTCAGCTCGCCTCCCCCTTCTCGGCGGCCACGGCCAGGGAGATTGTGAGAGAAAGAGAAGAGAGAATAGAGAGAGAGAGAGAGGGAGAGAGAGAGAGGGATATACTGATATAGGGGGATGGGGGTGGATGGGGGGGAAGGGAGGGAGGGAGGGAGGGAGGGAGGGAGGGAGGGAGCGAGCGAGAAAGAGAGGGAGAGAGAGAGAGAGAGAGAGAAAGAGAGAGAGAGAGAGAGAGGAGAGAGAGAGAGAGAGGAAAACAAAAAAAAACAAGCTAGGTGCGCTCGCGCTACATCTGACATCCTACCCCTCCCTCCCATCCCTTTCCATGTCGCTAATTATGTGTCTCTCACCGAATCGGGCGTCGCACCGACCTTCATGCCTGGGAATGGAAGGGAGGGGGAGGAAACACTGCGCTTCCGACAAGCACGAAGCCTTGCGCTTCGAGGGGTCCAGGGCATTGCGTTCCGACGAGGAGGAAACATTGCGCTTCCGACAAAGGAGGAAACGTTGCGCTTCCGACGAGGAAACATTGCGCTTCCGACGAGGACGAAGCATTGCGCTTCGGTGAAACCAGAACAATGCGTTCCACCAAACATGAAGCATTGCGCTTCTGACGAGGAGGAAACATTGCGCTTCCGACAGAGAGGAAACTTTGCGCTTCCGACACACAGGAAACATTGCGCTTCCGACGAATAGGAAACATTGCGCTTCCGACAAGCACGAAGCCTTGCGCTTCGACGGATCCAAGGCGTTGCTCCGACGAGGAGGAAACATTGCGCTTCCCACGGGGAGGAAGCATTGCGCTTCCGACGCGGAGGAAACATTGCGCTTCCGACGAGAAGGGAACATTGCGCTCCCGACGAGGACGAAGCATTGCGCTTCGATGGATCCAGAGCACTGCGTTCCAACAGTGAAAAAGTATTGCGCTTCCGACATTGAGAGGGAGAGAGGAAACGAGATAATGAGAGAGATATAAAATAAGTGATGAGAGAGAGAGGGGGGAGAGAGGGAGAGAGAGAGAGAGAGAGAGAGTGAGGAGGAGGAGGGTGAGGGAGGAGGAAGGAAAGAAAGGGAGAAGGGGAAAGGAAGGAGGAGAGCATGAACCTCCCACGTGACGGTGCTCCCGCCTGGGAGGTCCCAAAACGATGCTCCCGCCTGAGAGGTCCCAAAAAAAGCACTCAAAACGAGGCTCCCGCCTGAGAGGTCCCAAAAAAACCCAAAGAAATCCAAAAGCAACCCCTCTCATCCCTGTAACTGTCCCAAAACACAAAAAAAACCCAAAGTTTCAGAGGAGAACTCCCCCGCCCCCGCTTCCTCCTCTTCTTACCCGCCCTCTGGAAGATGACGAGGAGCTCTCCTCTGGAACTTTGGGTTTTTTTTGGTTTTTTGGGACAGTTACAGGGATGAGAGGGGTGGCTCTTGGATTTCTTTTGGGTGTTCTTGGGACCTCTCAGGCGGGAGCCTCGTTTTGAGTGTTTTTTTTGGGACCTCTCAGGCGAGAGCTTCCTTTTGGGTGTGTTTTTTGGGACCTCTCAGGCGGAAGCCTCGTTTTGAGTGTGTTGTTTGACGGGTAAGAAGAGGAGGAAGCGGGGTGGACGAGGAGCTCTCCTCTGGAACTGTGGGTTTTCTTCTACGAACACGGAATGTCTTGGGCAAACCACCGCGGCTGTGGGCAAGTTTGTTGCGTCATCTTGCCTTCTCCTCCTCGCCCTCCTTGTCTTCCTGCTCCTTCTCCTGCTCCTCCTGCCCCTCCTCCTCCTCCTCCTCCTCCTGATCCTCCTCCTCGTGCCCCTCCTCCTCCTCCTCCTCCTGCCCCTCCTCCTCCTCCTCCTCCTCCTCCTCCTCCTCCTCCTCCTCCTCCTCCTCCTCCTCCCCTGGATGGTCGGAGGGTGCGCTCGTCGAGCTCAGAGAGCTTCTCGGAAGGCCGGATGCCGCCCGAGCCTCCCGCGGAGGCCTGCCCCCTCCGCCTTCGCCCCCGGGGCGCGCCGCGGAGGCGCACGGCGGCGACGTCTCGAGACGTTGTCGTCACGGCGTGGTCCCCGAGAGGTCTGGGCCCCGTCCCTTGACAGGGTCCTCAGTGGTTGCACGCCTCCTCCTCCTCCTCCTCCGCCTCCTCCTCCTCCTCCTCCGCCTCCTCTCCTCCTCCTCCTCCTCCTCCTCCTCCTCCTCCTCCGCCCCCTCCCCCTCCTCCTCCCCCTCGTTCCCCCCTCCCTCCTCCCCCTCCCTCCTCCTCCTCCTTCCTCCTCCGTCTCCGCCTCCTCCTCCTCCTCCTCCTCCTCCGCCTCCGCCTTCTCCTCCATCAAGGGGGGCCCTGCCCCCTGATGGGGTCCACAGTTCGCATGCGGTGTTTCTCCCCCAATATTTGGTTGTGCCTGGAAAGTTTGGCCACTCAGGGAATAGGGGGAAGCCCTGTGGTACACCCAAGGGAGGCTATTCGGACGCACCCCTTATGGAGGATGGACGCCTCCCCATCGTATATCCCAGGGTTGGGCCTCAAATTTTTGGTCCATTCGAAAAAAAACCACGCAGCCTGTGATAGGGGTCGACATATCCCTTGTTACCAGTGGTTGTAAGTTGTGTATGTCTGGGGGGCAGCGATCGTGACTCTCTAGCTAGCAGCCATTTCGGGGCGCACGGCCGCCCCTCACACTCGACGCCCAAACTCGCACTGCATGTTCGCACTTCGCACTCGCACCCCGCACTCGCCCCTGCACTCGCCCTCCGCACTCCGCACCCACACTCACACTTAATACTCGCGCCCCGCACCCGCACCCACGCTCACCCCCCACGCTTTACGCCCACACGACACGAACTCGAGATGCGGGTCAACTCGGCGCACTAAGTCGGGGACGCCTACCCCGCGGTCAATTCGAACTTCGCACTCGAGGAATCAGCTCGGACAACCAACTCGCGAAATCATTCGGCACCTCCAATCGCGAAACCAAGGCGGCAAACCCACTTGGCACATCAACTTGCGAACTCAATTCGGCAGGCCACCCCGCGAAATCAACTCGGCAAATCAACCCTGCAAATCAACTCTCTAAATCAACTCGGCAAATCAACTCGGGAAATCAACTCGGCAAACCAATTCGGGAAATCAGCCCGGGAAGTCAACTCGGGAAATCAATTCGGGGAAGCAATTTGCACTTCGCAGTTGACATGGTAAGTCAAAGCCCAAGAAATCAACGCAGATTCAACTCGCCATCTCAGCGTTCCGTGCAAGCCAACTCCACACATCAATTCGGGAAATCAACTCGGCAAATCAACTGTAAATCAACTCTGTAAATCAATTATGTGAACCAACTCGGCAAATCAATTTTGTAAATCAACTCGGTAAATAAACTCTGTAAGCCAACTCGGCAAATGAACTCGGGAAATCAAGTCGGCAAACCAACTTAGTAAATCAATTCGGTAAATCAACTCTGTAAATCAACTCGGGAAAGCAACTCGTCTAATCTATTCGGTAAACTCGGGGTTTGGTGTGGGGTGTGAGTATGGGGTGCGAGTGTGTGCGTAGACTGTGGGCGTAGAGTGTGGTGTGTGTGTGGGGGGTGCGGGTGTGGGCGTAGAGTGTGGGGTATGAGTGTGGGGTTTGAGTGTGGGCGTGCAGTGTGGAGTGCGAGAGTGTGCATAGACTCTGGGCGTAGAGTGTGGGCCCGAGTTTGAGAGGCGAGTATGGAGTGCGAGTGTCTGCATGGAGTGTGGGCGCGAGTGTGTTCGGCGAGTGTGGGCGTCGAGTGTGGTGCGTTTCTGGCCTCGAGCTAGTGCTGGCCCCCCAGACATACACAAGTTGTAAGGTTCAGGCGATCGCAAGCATGGATCAAAAGGGGGGTGGATTCGCGACGGGTCCCGTTCCCATGGGGAATCGAGGATTTCCGCCGCCGAGCGAGGCGGCACCAGCCGCATTTTGAGGAGGGCACCTCCCCCGACCCATGGATTTGGCAACCGCGCGCCGCTAATCCATGTTTGCGCGCCCCCGAGTTCTTTTTACATTGGTTGCAGGATGATCGACCTCGGCCCCAACAAAAACACAAACGGGCAAGTTGAGCACTCCTTATTTAAATGATTCGACAAGGAACTGTCGAGGAGTGGCCCGCATTACCATCTGTGTTTTCGCGAGGGAATGTCCAAGGCGGCAACGTGCGAAGGAGTGTGCTCCACGCTGCTTTCATGGCCCTGCAAGCGGGCAGAGGCGCCCGTCCTTAACAAGCAAAAACCAGACCCCCTCTCATGCCCGCAAAGACCACCGCCGGTGGCGCCAAAGCAGGCCTGGTTTATCGCACACGCCGGTCGTTGCAAGTAGTATTTTTGGCTTCCCAGATCCCAATCTACTTCAAGCGCCTTCCTACTCCAAGAATCGACATGCCTTTGCTGTGTTTTGTTTCTACCTACTTCTTCATGTCCGCCTTCCTACTTCATGTTTCTACCTACTTCTTCCGACCGACGTGTATCGGTGTTGGATGTAGTGCAGCGATTCGTTCCGAGCTGTTCTTTGGCGCCCCCGGGGCCCAGCGAGGGTCCTCGAAAGCCGGGAGTCGGCAAAACACTCTTCTGCTGTGTCTGTTCGGGAGGGGAGGACACACATAGACACATTGAATCCTCGATCCCCCAGAAAAGATGGGAAAACATGGGGAGTGGGGGGGGAAGACAACAACCCAGAACATGTCGGAAACTATGGCGACTCCTTTGATTCGTGTGTATTTATGTGTGTGTTCTGGGGCCCCTTCATTTGTGCCCACGACGTGAGGGTATCAGGTCCTCGGGTTGCAAGCCGGCTCCACGGCGGCCGATCGGGACGATCCCGGCGCCCCCCGAACGCTCTCGACGAGCCGAGGCGGAACATATTCCAAGAGCAAACGGAACCAACCGCCTGGCATCGCTCGGACGTGTGCATGTTTCCTTCGGGGAGGGCCATCGAGGAGCATCCTCGATCACTTGGCGAAAAAGCCACGCACAAAACCGAAAAAACACAGGGAATGGACGTCCGAGCGATGGCCAGACCGAAAACCGCAGAAAACCTGTTCGCGAAGCGAGGATGTCCGCGAGGATGTTCGCGACGTAGGGGCCGAAATCGGCCGAACTGTTTTGATCTGCGGCCCGCAAGGAAAAGTCCACAGGGCGGTATGAGGCAAAGGGGCGAACAGAAACAAAAACAACAAACAAATCGGCCGAACACGCTACGTCGTGATTTTCCCAAACAGTTCAACCCCCCCCCCCGTCGTGCTTCTTAGTGACGCGAGGGGGGTCTGGGCCCAGGGGCCACACATGGATCCCCGGACCCTTCCAGGGAGCGTTCTGGCCAGAAACTCGAGACGGATCCAGCCGGGGCGGCGGGGAGCCCCGCGGCAGCGTCAGAGAACGGCGAGGGAAGCCGGAGTCCGAGGCATGGCCCAGCGAAGGCCCCGGACATAGAGGCCGCAGACGGCCGACAGCCTCGCGTCGTGCTTGCTCCAAGGCGCCGCCGGAGGTCCTGGGCTGGCCCGGGCCCTGGCGCGGGGGGCGGCGGCGCCCGGCGCCTTGGCGCCCGCCCGCGGGCGGGCCCCCCCCAATGCGCCCCCCGCCGCGCAGGAGCCCCGCGCCCCGGCAAGCGGGCGCGGCGGCGCTCCCCCCGCCCCTCGCGGTGGCACCTTCGAGGGGGGGCCAGCCACGGGCTGCCCTGGCTCGGGGGCGGCAAAGAGGGGGGTGATGACTAGGGGGGGGGTGGATATCATGGCGGGGGCCATGAGATCTCCCCAGATTTCATGGCGCCTCTTCTTGATTCATTACGTCCCTGGCCCCCCCGCTGGGCCGCGCACCTGCCGCCGGTCATGATTTGCACCTCCCCCCCTCTTGGACACCCCCCTCTTGGCCGCTCCCGACTCGCGGTGGCACCTGCGGGGGGGCCAGCCACGGGCTGCCCTGGCAGGACCTCGGCGCCTGGGCTCCAGTCCACGGCTGTGTCAACAAGCAGGCGAGGTGCGTCCAGAGGTCCTTGGCATCGCTCGGACGTGTGCATATTTTTCCTCCGGCGAGGACCATCGAGGAGCATCCTTGATCACTTGGCGAAAAGAACACGCACGACAGCGAACAAAAACACAGGGAATGGACGTCCGAGCGATGGCGAGGGTCTGGGGGGCTGCTGTGTCAGCACCCTGGAAGGGTGGCGCCCAGGGCGTGCAATTCTGCGCGCGTGGGCGTGCGAGCGCGCTTCTGGGCAGGCGGAGGCGGCGCAGGCAGGGGTCGTGCTTGACCGCCGCTGCTGGGGCCCACCCGCCGCCAGCCTCCACCGAACCTGGCATCCGGACGCGCTCGCCGCCGAGAGGCGTCGGGGCATCCACCGATCCACTGTCTCTCGCTGCACCTCTCGAGCAGGAGGTCTGCTGCAGGCCTGGGCTGCACCAGACTGGCTTGCCTCCTCGTCGAAGCCACAGCGCAGCATGCAGAGCGCTCCGCAGATCTGCGGAGCATCCTCGGGCATGTTGCAGACTCGGCGAGGCAGTCGATGCAGGGCAGGCGAGTGGCGCAGTCGACCTCCCAGCGTTGCAGACCCCGGGGGGCCTCGCCTGCCCGCAGGGCTGGTGTTCTCTTGGTGTCTGCCAGGCGTCGACCGCGCAGCTCGCAGCCCGCGCTTGGCCTCCGGGGGTCTCCGCGCGCGAGAGGCCGCAGCGGCCTCGCCGTGCGAGTCCGGCGTTGTGCTGTGCAGGGGCTGGCGGGCGGCGCGAGGCCGTCTTCTCTTGTGCCCGACGCGGGCTCGATGCGGCCTCGGGTGGGATCTGGCGCGGGCTCGATACGGATTCGGCGAGTCCGGCTTGGATGCGGCACGGCTCCGACGCGGACAGGGTCGCGACGGGACAGTCGAGGTCCTCCGACGATGCAACCTAACGCCCCGAGGAGCTCCTCCACCAGGTGCCAGGCGCGCCCGCCCCCGCGGTCGCCGCGCACGCGCGCCCGCAGCTCGTCGCCCTCGTCGCCGTCGCCGACCCCTTGTTCTCAGGGGCAGCGTCGAGTCGAGGATCGAGGTCCGAGTCTCGCATTCTGGACGCTTGTGGCCATCCGGTGGCGCCGCTATTCAGAGGAATCTATGCGTGGGCCGCCGCATAAGGAATCTGTTTGCGCCGCCCTCGTATCCACGGCTGGATCCGCCCTGAGATTCCTGGCCAGAGCGCACCCCAGGACGGGTCCAGGGGCCGATGCTCGACTGCTCAGAGGGAGGTTCGAGGTCTTCGGGCGCTTTCGTCGGCTCTGGGCGGTTTCCCAGCCCCGGGGTAGTTCCCTCTGGGCAGCTGCGCCTCGCCGAGAGCGTTCCCGGGGTGCCTGGGATCGTCCCGCACAGCCGCCGGAGACCCGTGTTTTTTCCCCCCCCTCTGGTGGGTAACGCTTGTCACCCGCCCCCCCACCCCCGGGTAATGTTGACGATCGTATTGAGGGCAGACTCCCCTCTTATCCGCAGGTGTGGCGCTGTGCTCACAGGCATGGCGTGGTGCTGAAAGGCACGCGTGGTGCTCTCACGAACGTGCTGTGGCGTGCGCAGGTTCCCCACCTGTTGCGGCGCCGAATGCACGGGCATGGCGTGGTGCTAAAAGGCACGTTTCAGTGCTCATTTGCCTGTTGTGGCGCCTGCAGGCTATTGCAATGCGCAATCTAGAGTGGTTTACGTCTACATCCCTATGTTCTCTTCCACTGCTCATCTTACTGGTGGAACTCCTGGAAGCAAGGCTGCCAGGAGATTTCGCAGCCATGTCTTGGTGGAGCAACGGTTATCTTGTGTTTGTTACGGTTGGCGCTGACGAAGGCGAGGAGGACGAGGAGGAGGAGAGGGAGGGTATGGGGAGGAGGACCAGACGCAGGAGGAGGAAGAGGAGGAGACAATGTGGTGCACACAGGCGCTGTGGCGCACACGGTTGTTGCACTATACAAAAACACTCCAGTGTACGCGGGCGACGTGGTGAGGGCTTCCGCGGTCCCTGGCGGGCCCCGCAAAAAAGGTTTCGCAAGCTACTGATGTGCCCGTTGGCACGTTTTGTTATAGACAGGCGATGAGGCGCACGGACGCATTGTTGCGTGCGAAGGCACTGTGGTGCACATGGTTGCTGTGGTGCACGTAGACGCTGCAGTGTGCACAAGCGCTCTGGTGCACACAGGCAATGTGGTGTACACACGCGCTGTTGCGCACACGGTTGCTGCAGCAAGTATACACAGATCTTGCGGCGTACGTGGGCGACGTGGTGGCGTTTTGCACGCAGTTGTTGTGGTGCACCGATGCATTGTGGTGCACTCAAGCGGCGTTGTCTTGCACGAATGCATTTGGCATTGTCGCGCGCGCAGGGATTGCAGCGCGATCAGGTAATTGATGTGCCGATGGCTAGGACGCACCCTGGCGGGCGCACGCCGCGGCCGCCGTTACCGTTACCCGCCGGCCCAACCCCCCCCCGGGCAACAGCCGTTACCCAAAATGCAAAAATCTCGGTGAACCTACAATCAGAAGCATCGGCCCGGGGGAGGATACCGGGGTCAACGCTAGGGTTGGGCATCGGGGTCACTGTCAGGGGGAGATGCATCGATCCCGAATCGCCCATTCATCGGCGATAGGGGCCTGATAATTAGCCCACCCCGCCCAGGAACGTGCGGTTTCGCTATCGGGGGCCCCTAGCCGATCTACGGGCGATGCATCGCCGATTCCAGGTCGATGTCCCTCCCCTGTGCCAGTCCCCTCCCGCCGTTGCCCCTGCAGGGGGGGTAGGTTCAGGGGAGGGCGCATCGACCCCCAATCGCCCGTTCATCGCCGGTAGTGGCCCTGTACTAGTAGCCCAACCCGCCAAGGTCAAGAACCTGCGGTTCTTTCGCTGTCGGAGGCATATCGCCGCTGCATCGGCGATGCATCGCCGATGCCATGTCGGTGCTTTCCCCCTGGGCCAGTCCCCCACCCCTATCGCGTTCCCCCTTGTGTCCTCGGGGAGCAACGCGCGGCACACGCATGCTTACGGTTGGTTCGTGTTGTGTCGACCGGCGGCGACCCCGCCGCCGGCGTTCAGCGTTGAACGGGGTCGGCCCAGAATCGGTCGATGTTGAACGATCGGACGTTGCGGAAGCGGCCGATCGTTCAAGGCTGAAAGGTCCCCGCGGTGTCAGGAACCAACGCCCGGGTCGAGACGACACGAACTTGCCGTAGTCTTGCGTTGAAGGCCCGTGCAGATCTCTTGGATCTCCTCCAGGCGCACCATTGGGCGCCGCCCCTGGCGCGCTCGGCGCGCCAGCCGCGCGCCAGGGGCGGCGTCCAGGGGTGCAGGGCAGGCTGGTCCCCTGGCAGAGGCCACAGTGAGAGTGCAGTCAGATTTGAGGCTTAAGTCGGGCGTGTCCCTCTACAGGAGGGATATTCGAAGATAGTCAAAAAATAGCATGGGGACGATTTGGGGATCTTTTATCATTATTGTACATGTTGTAGCCATTTTAATTTTCCTCCAGCATCGTTCTGTAGGGAGATTTGCCCGACCGACCTAATCCTGGGCCTCCTAGATAGGGTCGGAGTATGCAGGTGGGGTCGGAGGATGGCGCTGCACCGCCGGTGCATCGGCGATGCGGCTCGATGTGGAGCCCGAGTTCCTTCACGCCGACGTCGCCGATGTATCGCCCACGTCGACGATGCATCGCCAGTGCATCGCTGATGCATCGGCGATGCGGCGCGATTCCCCGACCCCATTTACTTCGACCCCATCGAGGAGGCCTCTAATCATGAGGACCATCAGGTTTCCAAGGGCACTCTTTCGCCCCAGCGTCTTCGTCCAATTCTGAGCCGGTATCACTGGCCGTTGTCGCTCACAGCGGTTCGACGTTGGCGTCCAAGGGCCTTGAATCCTTACCACGTATCCCCTGCGGTCCTGTCGCGATGTGGGAGCTCTCGGGATCTCTCGGATGTTCTCCGCAGGTGTCCAGGGATGTTCTCGCATGCTTCCTGAGCTCTTTTGGGGGTGGGGGCAGGTTCTCATTGAAAATTAAGATTTTCGCATATCCCTGCAGTTCTCGAATATTATTGGGGGATTCTGGCGGTCTCGGGTGGTGTTCGGAGGTCGTTGGCGGGTTTCGGATACCCGACAGTGAAGTCTTGACGGGGAACGTTATTCCAAGAAGGGCGGCCAGTGGGTTACTTATTGATTACCTTCATGCTTCGCCAATCTTGGTTATGCAGGCCGCCAGCTGAACGTATATACGTTGGATCTCCTTGTTCAGTATACTCTGTACTCTAAGCGCCTGCCTACTTCATTAATCGAAAAGGCCTCCGTTTGACAGCCGCGCGCGGGCCGAAACCCAGCCTACCCATTACCGCCTTCTTACTTCATGATTCTAGCTATCCAGACATCCGACGTCATGCGTTTTGCTCACAATGTGTCTCCCGCGAGGTCTGGTCCCCTGCCCTGGGGCTGGCCTTTTCCCGCAGAGGCCAGAAGCGGCCAAACTTTACACCGTCGTATTGTTTCACGTCGCGAAGACATGTTTCTTCCCAAATTGGGTCCGACTTGATGGGGTCGGAGGATCGGGCCATATCGGCGATGCATCGGTGAGGCGGCCCGGTGTGGAACCAGTTGTTCTCCACGCCGACGTCCACGATGCATCGGCAACGCATTGGCGAAGTTGCGCGATCCAACAAACCCGTCTGTCTCGACCCTGTTTGGGAGGCCTCGACTATCGATCCACGGCCGGCAGGGTCCGCACGTTGCCGTTCTTCGCCTGCTGACCCTCCTTCCCTTCTCGATGCGCCCCTCTCTGCTGCAGTGGGCACGTCATATGCGGGTGTGTCCGATGGTCCCTGCTATCCTCGCGCGAGAAGGTCGGGGCTCGGGGCTCATGTCAGCAAGCGTCGAGAGGACTATCACTGCGGAAGGCTGTTACCAAGGGTCGGCCTCGGTATGTCCGGCAAGGCCCTGCTGGGGCCCGGGACCGTCAGAAAATTGCTCAGGATGAAAAGCATGTCCCAGGGAAGGGGTCGAGGCCGCTCGGGAGCCACGATGTGGAAAAGCGCCATGTTTGGGGGCGGCAGGTCAGACGCGGAGAGCAGAAGGAGAGGGCGTCCAGGGAGAGAGGGGGGCAGTTGGGGAAGGGGAGGGGGGAGGGGGGCTGACTGGCTGAGGAGGGCTGGAGGGGTGTGGGGGGAGGGAGGAGCGGGAGAAGTGCGGAGGGAGGAGAGGGGGGGGGGCAAGCTAAGTGCATTCGCGCCATGTCTGACATCCTATCCCTCCCCCCATCCCTTCGCATTGCGCTGAGTTGTTCTCTATCTGCGGACGCGTGTCATAGCGGACCTGGAACTTCCCCAAACAATTATCCGGTTATGCGCAATCGGAAATTGGGAGCTGCGTTCATAGGAGTAGGGGAGGAGGAGGAGGAGGAGGAGGAGGAGGAGGAGGAGGAGGAGGAGGGGGAGGAGGTGGCGAATGAACAAGGTGATGACCAGGAGGAAATTAAGGAGGATGTGGAGGAAAGAGGAGGGGGAGGTGGCGGATGACAGGGGGATGACCAGGAGGAAATTAAGAGGATGAGGAACGAGGAGGAGGAGGAAGAGGATGAGAAGCACGACGAACACGACCAGCAGCGTTAGGAATTTGAGTGGAAGGAGCGGGATGAGCAGGAGGACCAGGGGAAGGCGGAGGAGGGGAAAGGTGGCGGGCGACATCGAAAGTCTGTCGTTGAAAGTAGGTATTCTCGGTTTCTCATATTCAAATCTACTTTAAACGCCTTCCCACATCAATGATCGAGTGGCTTCACCGTTTCCGTCCTTTGTAGGGGGCGGGCCACCCAATCCATTTTCGCAGCCTTCCTACTTCATGCTTCTAACCACTTCTTGCGTCCGATGGGTATTCAGATTGAGTGATGATAGAGGGGGGGAGGGAGTGGCGGGGGGGGGGGACGGGAGGGGAAGGAGAGGTGGCCGCGAGGGCTGTGTTCTGGCTGGCCGGGCTGGGCTGGAGATCCGTGCCGCGGGTTCGGACGATGCTCTCTGGCGGGGCGGTACCGGGCGCGTTGCGGTCGTGACGGTCGCGCGTGCGTCCGAGCATTTCTGAGCAGTCTCTGGGGAGGCACCAGTCGAGGGATCGCAAGCACGGGTTCGGGCGCGTGGATGAGTAGCGACGGGCCCCGCTTCCATACAACACGGGCGCGCTCCGTGGGCACATGGCGCGGCACAGGCGTCGTGTTCTTTAGTGGTCCTCCCCCGCGCCGTGGATCTGGCGCCCACGCGCCAGATTCCATCCATGTGAGTGTGCTCGCGTACCTGGTCTGAGCTCGCTTTTTCTCCCGCCACCTGATGGCCAGCCCACCTAACACTCTGACGGAGCATAACGTAGGCGATGTGTCAAGATGTGCTGGCAGAAGCTGGAAGTGTACTGGGCTGCCTGAGCGCCCAGCTGCGACTGACTCTCTGCAGCGCTCGGGCGTTCTTCGGCCTCTCTGCCTGACTCCGCCGCGTCGCCGCGCGCGTGGCCGCGGCGCCCAAAGTGCGTGTGATGTTGCGTTGGCATTCTAGAGTTTTTTTTGCCGATACGCACATACGGGGCGAACATGCCAGTTGGTTGCGAACTGCACTTGCACAGGGGGAAAGGGGATTCAGTGCATGCATGGTACGCCACTCCGTGGGACCCCCCAGGAGCCCACGCACATGGCGATATTTGCGCGCCTTCGGCAGCGCCCAGGGAGGGCGAAGTCTAGTCCGGGTCCGTGTACCAGGCCAGACGAAGGGTAGGATAGGGAAAGGGTTACGAAACCGGACCCATTCCTCGACACGTGTTTGCCTCCCGGCGCCAGGAGAAATCCAGCTACGTGAGTTGATTATCTAACCTGTGCTATCCTACCCGTTCGTCCCACCCGAGTGTACCACGTCACTCCGCCGAAGGCCCCCCAGAGAGCTCACGCACACTGCGGCAGCTGCGCGCAGTCGGCAGCGCCACGTGGGGGGCCACTTAGGAGCGCACAGCGCGGTGACGGATTCGCGCCCGCTAAGGCCGAGGACCCTGACCTTCCAGAGTGCCCCCAAAAAATAGCCCTCCAGATCTATGTCCCTGTCTGACCTGCCGACAACCTGGACTGTAATCTAGATGGCGAGGTCCTGGCGGCCCTCCTGGAAGGTCAGGGGAAGCGGGGTCAGTTCTAACGGGGGTCAGCCACTCCCTTTGGCTGACCCGGGTTTGGGATCCACGTGGGGCCGATTTCCAGTGGTTGCCCTCCGCTGACTTGGGCTTCGGCGCCAGAGGGCGGCCGGCCAGGCTTCGCGACAGGGTCCTGGCTGAGCCTGGTTTGTGCTGACCTGGGTCAGTCCCGAGGGAAGCGGGGAATTAGCGAGTCAGGATGCAGCGTTTTGGAGGTTTGACTCCGCACAGGTGCCGGAAAATCTGCGGTCGAGTATTGGGCGGAGTTGGCACGATCCCGGCGAATGCCGCTGCGTTCCGTTCAATCTATCTCAATCCTGGGCTCTTAGCGTGAGCCAATCCGACTCAGTGGCCCCGCAATCGTCGAGTAGAAGATCGACCGCATAATGTGACTTACCCCAAGAGGCTGCAGGAGGAGCGGGCCGGAGAGGAGCGGGCGGGAGAGGAGCAGGCTGGCGCTTTGCTCGAGACGGGCGCCCGGCACGGGCGGGCCGCGGAGCGTGTTGTTGTATGCAAGTTCTGGCAAGGTTACCGGCATGGCATTTCAACTTAGCATAACCAAGAGGTTTTCGCCGTTTTCAGGCTCTAGAGGCCATCACCGGGCCCCGGGACCGTCAAGAAAGGTTGGCGGCGCGCAGAGGGGGGCAGGGCGAGGGGGAAGGTTTCTTAGAAGCACCCCTGCTTCTTTGAAGGCGCGGGCCTTGTCTATGAACGTAAGGCCCACGGCTTCTAAGAAGCAGCCTCCTTCTAAGAAGCCTTTTCCCCTCCCCCTACCCCCCTCTGCGCGCCGCCAAAAAGGACTCGGGATGAAGCGGCGGTGCCAGGGTGTGTATCGAGATTTCTGGGGACCCCGCATCGAGACGTCGCATCTCTGCTTGAAATTCTGGTAAGCTTCAGACGTCTTTTCGAGGCTCGCCGCCCCGCCCCCCCTCCCCCCCCGAGAGGCTTCCCGCTCCCTCTTGCAACCATAGTCGAACTAACGAACCAATTACCTCCTGGGAGCATCACCGAGCGCGTTCCACTACTCGCAAAGTGCCTACCCGCAGACGTCCGAAAATCACATGTTCGCTTTGTTGTAGTAGATCGTAAATCCCCCGCGGCGGGTCCAGGAAATGTGCGAGTAGCTACTTTGCGAGTAGTGGAACGCGCTTGTCTAGAACAGGCCCCCCCCGCCCCAGGCGGCCCCGCGGGCAGAGGTGGGAGCAGGCGCCAAAGCCGCGCGGCGCGGTTGGACGCCTGCGCAGACCGGTCGCCGGATGGGCGAGGAGGGGGAGGAGGAGCAGGTGCGGCCAGAAGGAAGGAGAAGAGGCACGGGTCAGGCGATCGCAGACATGGATCAGGGGGGCGTGGATTAGCGATGGGTCCCGTTTCCAGGAGGAATCACGGATTTCCGCCGCCGGGCGAGGCGGCACGGGCCGCATTTTGTGGAGGGCACCTCCCCCGACCCATGGATTTGGCGACCGCGCGCCAAATCCATGGATCGCAAATCCATGTTTGCGCACCCCCGAGGGAGGCATGGGGGGCGACGGGGGGCGGTCGTCGTGGTGGCGGATGTGGCCGTGGTGGGTCGTGGTCGTCATGATGGTGGTCGTGTCCCGTCGTGTTGCTCGTGGTGGTGGTGGTGGCCGTGGTTGGTGGCCATGGCAGTGGTCGCGTCGTCGAGGTGGTGGCCGTGAAGGTGGCCGTGTCTCGTCGTCATGCTAATCGTATTGGTGGTCGGTGCTGGTTCTCTATCGAAGAAGCAGATGAGTAAACATGAAGTTTCGGAGGTCCGCGCGGAGCGCCGACAGTTCATGGTTATGCAGCTTGTTCTTCTTCGCCTCACCCTCCCTCGGGGGTGGACAGACCTCCTACCCTGACACGTCGATGAGTGAATTGTCCGTTTTTGGTTCTCGAGAGGGCGCCGCGGCCGTCATTTTCCAGGCTTGCGCCCGCCAGGTTTGGGCCCGAGGTCGTTTTCACTAAACCACGTTTTACTAAAGGGAGGTCTGTCCATCCCCTCCCTCCCCTTCCAGCCCCACCCCTCACCCTCCCTCCCCTTCAGCACCAGCCCTCCCAGCGCGGGCAGGCGAGAAGTGCTTCGTGGCGGCGTCGGGTCGGCTGTTGGTCGACCTGGCCCCCAGCTGCAAGGCCAGCCTGCTCGCGGGAGACAGCAGAGGGGGGTGGGGCTTTTTGTGTTATGAAAAACGTCCAGGGCGATGTTTACCTCATCGGTTACCAGTTGCGGACGCTATTGATTGTCTGTTTCAGCGGTTACTAGTTACGTCGAGGGCGATGTTTGTTTCAGCGGTTATTAGTTACGGACGCTACTGATTGTTTGTTCCCAGGTTTGGGATCGGCCTTTGGGTCACCTGCCCGTTTTTCATTCAGTGTCGAATGCCTGTTATGTGTAAGGATGCCGCCTGCCTGACGCCAACTTTCTGGGATGCTGCTTGTTGTTGAAAAGTTTCAGAAGGTGAACATCGAAACATGGAAGCTCTAACTCAGAGCGTGAATTACCTACCCCGCTTTCGCTTCCAGGCAAAACCAAGTCATACCACGCGCCTCCTCGTCAAGGGGCCTGACCAGTACAGGCCGTAGTTTGGCATCGCTTGGTATCTCTTGGAAGCGAGGGTGGTCAAGAGCGAGGTAGGTTTGTTTGCCCCCTACTAACAACAGCAAACAAAGCATGCCACCCCAGCGTTTGCAATCACAACTAAGGAGGGAAACCGTGCAGGAGTGGCAGGGCCAACGTTCTAGGGGGGGGAAATCGAGACGCTTCGAGGTGAAGTTTCGGGTCGGAGACTTTAGGCCTTTGGCGTGTTCGTCGGTAATCGTCGGCGTTCCAGACTCGGGATGCCTTCCAGCAGCTGCGCCTCGCTGAGAGCGTTCCGGAGGCACCGCCCCCCCCCCCTCGAGAACGAGGGATTGTGGACTCCGTCGGGGTCGGGGCGCAAGCGCGAGAGTTGGCGCGTGCGCCCCTCTTCCTCCTCCTCCTCCTCTTCCTCCTCCTCCTCCTCCCTTTCCCCCTCCTCCTCCTCTTCCTCCTCCTCTTCCTCCTCCTCCTCTTCCTCCTCCTCCTCGTCCTCCTCGTCCTGCTCCTCCTCCTGCTCCTCCCTCCTCCCTTTCCCCCTTTCCGCAAAAATCTGGCCCGCGGTTCGCGCCCGTCTGCGCAACGGTCCAGGAACGAGCTGTGGGTTCACGGACTCTTGCTGGGATGCTATTGCCTACCAGGCCGAACATGATTCCGAACGTGGCCAAGTTGGGCCGTGCTCGTGAATGCAGCGCCCGTGTGGCACCAGTCGTGGAAAACCCTCACCAAAAGAAGAAAAGGAGGCAAATGCCCAACGTGGAAGAGATCCGAGGCCAATCGGCGCGCAATCTCCCCTGATGAACATGAAGAAATGACAGCGGCGCTGGTGCTTCTCCGAGCAATCGCAGCGAGCAGAGAGGCTCTGCGAGCCTGATCGCGGCAGCTGCCGCAAGCGGATTGACGGTGGCGTTGCCGATCGCTCCTCACCGTGCACCTGTTTCCCAAACGTTCCGGAGTTCGCGCGAACAGAGTTTGCCAAGCGAGGCATGATGACCGCCAACGACTCTGAGCATCTGCTTGGTGGGCTGCAGGTGGGGATCTATACAGGGCTGCCATGACGCTTGCCGTTTGCCCCCGTCCAGCCCGCGTGGAGCTGATATTTTGGCGGTGACGATATTCCTGTCACACAACCCTTCTTTGTCTCCCGAAAAACAGGGCCAGCGTTTCGAATCCTCCCAGCGCGCATATGGCGCGTCTGGATTGTCGGGGCACGTGTTTGGCGTGTCTCAGCTCCTCTTGTGCACGCCGCGTTTGGTGTGTGCACGCCACGATTTGTCCGCTGCTGGGTGGCAGGGCTCAACCCGAAGAGAGAATATCCCCCCCCCCCCCCCCACAGTGAAGCCCAAAACGGCCTATGAGGGCTCCAAGACAAGAGAGCCACAAACGTTTCAGATACGCCCACGGGCGCCCAGAGAGGGTTCACAAGCTGGTACCAGATGCCCCCAAGAAGGCTCCAGAAGGGGCCGACGATGGGAAAGTCCACGAGGCGCCAGGAGCTTTCCCCCGAATATGGCTTCCATCTCCCCGAAGATCACCCGAAGAGGCCCCGAAGATGCTCCAAGGGGGCCCCGAAGAGGCCCTCGAAGTGTACCTCCAGGAACACAGTTTAGTGATACTGCTTCTGTGTTTGACCGTTTTTCGCGTTCTTTTTTGCTCCTGGTTGTAGAGCTCTTTCTGCCGCGCTTTTTATTGTTGCTGCTTCTGTTGCTCCACATCCTCGCCCTACCCATCCTCACCACCTTCGACCCTTTATCAGGAGTAAAGGAGGGAGAGGGCATCCCCGATGTCCCCCTCCCCCTCTTCGCCTCCTCCATCCTCCTCTGCATCATCCTTCCTTCCTCCTGTTCGTCCTCATCTCCTCTTCCTCCGCCTATCGTACTTCTTCTCCTCCTCCCCCTCGATCCTCGATCTCCTCTCTCCTCGACCCCCGATCCCCACCCTATTCGATACCCGGTCGAAGCTCTCCGATTCGCGATCCCTCCTCATCGATCCCCCGCCCCTTCTCCGATCTCCCCTCCTCTATCCTGGACCCTCCTCCTCCATCCTCCACCCCCCTCTCCACCTCTCCGCCCCCTCTCCCCAATTGTCGAGCTCCCCTCCTCGATCTTCGATCCCCCTCCCTGGTCCTCCATCTCCATCTTCCGTATCATCCCACGGGAGGACAGAGAAGTGGACCCCCCCTGACGTTGCCATTTCCCTCTCCCCCTAGGCCCAAGGTTGCCCCAGGACGTGCACCATCGCGGGTTTGAGAGGGCTCCCGCTGCAGACATCCCCGAAAAAGGAGCCATTTTGCGGCAGATCAGCGAATCACAACGGCACGACAGATCACCATGGCAGATCACAAGAGCATGGCAGACCAGCACGGCACGCTTCAGCAGCACGGCGGACCCTTCTGACACGCTTCGTGGCCCCGTGGGGAGCTCCACCGGAGGCCCCAGTGGCAGGGTCCACCTGCTTCCCCCCGCCCCATTTCGGCACACCCCTCCACACGTTCCGCACCCCCACAGGGAGCTCCGCCGAAGGCCCGAAGGACAGGGGCCCACATGCGTCGCACCGCCCTACTTCGGCACACCCCTCACCCGCCTCGTGGCCCCACAGGACGCTCCACGGGCAGGGTCCACATGGGCCCCGCCCCTTCCCCCCGCCCCATGTCGACACACCTCTCACACGCTTCGTGGCCCCTTCGGGAGCCCCACCTGCAGCCCCAGTGGCAGGGTCCACATGCGTCCGCACGACCCATTTCGGCGCCCAAAACGCCTTCAACACGTTCCAACAGGCCTCCGAGGCGCCCCCGATTGGGGCCCCACGAACAACAAAAGTCGTGGATGTGTCACAAGTGTCTGATGGCGTGGCGTGCTTCTGCCTCTCCGCCCTGCGCACGCTCCAAGGTACCCCCACAGACGCGACAGCTCCCCCCAAGACCGCATACGAGGCCCCCCACACGGCCCCAGAGACCAAGAACGCCATGGAGGAGGAGGGGAAGAGGAGGAGGAGAACCCTCCTCCTGTTCCCCTCCTCCTCCTGTTCCCCTCCTCCTCCTCCTCCTCCTCCTCCTCCTCCTCCTCCTCCTCCTCCTCCTCCTCCTCCATGCGTGGACAGCCGAAAAAGCAGGCCACGCATGCCACGGCCATGATTCCGACACGCCGATGCCGGCTCCCACGTGGCCCGCACCGCCCCCCCAGGGCGCTCCTCGACCGCTCCCCACACGACCCGCCGCGCCCCGAGATGCGCAGAGCTCCCCTCCTCGAGCTTCGATCCCCCTCCTCGGCCCTCCATCTCCATCCCCCTCCTCGGCCCTCATTCTTCATCCCCCTCCTCGGCCCTCCATCTCCATCTCCATCCCCTCCTCGATCTTCGATCCCCCTCCTCGGCCCTCCTCGGCCCTCCATCTCCATCCCCCGGCTCCCCATACAGTCGGGGCCCTGAAGAAGGAGCCCTTTTCGTTGGGGAGGGGCTCCGCGCTCCTTAAGTGTTTCGCAGCTTGCCTTGGAGTTTCCTTAGGTTTGCGATACGAACTCGAAGTTCAACTTATGGAAGAAAGGGGCCTCGTTCCTTATTTGGGCTTCCTTAGGTCAACGCCCCGACTGTAGGAGGACAGAGAGTGGACCCCTCGACGTTGCCACCTCCCTCTCCCCCCCAGGACCCCAGGGTTGCCCCAGGACGTGAGACAGCACGGGCGCGCGAGAGGGCAACAAGGTGCAACAGTGGGACGCCCAGGAGGAGGAGGAGGAGGAGGAGGAGGAGGAGAAGAAAAGGAGGGGAAGAGGAGGAGGAGGAGAAGGAGGAGGAGGAGCCCGGATGAACTGTCTATTCGGGGGGAAGGGGGAAGCGCCCGCAGGATCGAACGCCACGGGGCCGCGGCTACACCTGTTTGGCTCCCTGCTGACCTCCATCCCTCCCCCTCCTCCGTCTCCTCCTCCCCCTCCTCCTCCTCCGCCTCCTCCTCCTCATCATCAGAATCAGCATCGCCGTCGTCATCATAAGCAGAATCCTAATCCTAATCACTATCTTCATCAACGCCATCATCGACATCAGCATCGCCATCATCATATTTGTCACCAGTAGCATCAGTACCAACATCATCAACCTCATCATCAT